GGTGTGCAATCCTTCGGTGGTAGCTTGATGGCAGTAGTAGGAGCAGTTATTCACGTTGTTGGTGCCGTACAGCCTGGCAAACAGCTGTAGAACAAAGCCTGCTTCGTTGGATGAACGTCCCGAGGCGTAAAAGAAACTTCTCTGTGGCGGGGTCTGGCGCAGCTGCTCAATGGCTTTCTGCAGCGCAAACGACCAGCTGACTTCAGTGTAGTGCGTAGCATCCGCCGGTTTGAATATGGGGTTTGCCAGGCGCCCTAACCGGGCCAGCTCGCGCTCGTCGAGCTCGCGCAGCTCCGCCAGGCTGTGATTGAATATGGCGGATGGAATGGGTGGTTGCAGGTCGGTAGATTGAGCCTGCACACTCTTGTTGCAAACGGATGGAAATTCGCCCAGCTCGTTGGTCATGCCGCCGAGTTGACCGCCCATACCCAGACCACAGGTTTTACAGGTATTTTTGCTGGTCAGCGCTTTCGACGTCGCGCGCAATCCTGCCTGTTGGGCGGTGCGCAACGTATACAACACTTTTTTCATGCCGCCGCCGGCGGCTGGCGGATGTGTTTTGCTCATCGGAGAATGTTACCCCGAAATGGTTGTGCTGTCCGTTAAGAGACGTGTGAAGCGACTTTACTCCTGCGCGATTCGTTGCAGGATAAACTCGCTTACTTCCGCACCGTGGCTGCTCTGCAGGAAATGACCCGCCGCAGGAATCGGATCAAAACTTGCCTGCATCTGCTCTGCCCATTTACGCCCCCAGGCTTCGGTGAATACGTCGTCGCTGCAACCCCAGATAAAATGTACAGGTTTTTGCCACTTCAACAGTTGCTGATAGTGATGGGTCTGCGCTGCGCCGTTGCCGTTATCGTAGTGAATACCGGGTTGTTGCATGGGTATGGACAATGGGAAACGCCGAAAACCATTAAAAGCCTCATCTGGCATGCCTCGGTAGGGTGCTGAGAAACCCTGATACACATCGGCTGCTGCGCCGGTTAAACCTGGATCTTTGCCTTGTGTCAGCGCTGGGAAAATAACCTCTCTGGGTGCCAGGCCTGCGCTCAAAACGAGCAGGAGGCCAACATCAGGTTGCGGTCGATGGAACAAACCCCCTTCGTGCCAGTTTTTCACCCAGTTTCGCACGCCTTGCGAATACTCAAAATCTGGATGATGTAACCACGTATTCATAATGATCAGGCGGCTGAAGCGTTCCGGCATGTGTACAGCCTGGGCCAAGCCGATGGGACCACCCCAGTCCTGACAGACCAGGGTCACATCCTGCAGATCCAGATGAGTGATCAGGCTGGTCAGTACTTCCGTGTGGCGTGCAATGCTGTACCAGTGAATATCAGCTGGCTTATCGCTGCGCCCGAAGCCCAGATGATCCGGTGCGATGCAGCGATAGCCGGCACCCACCAATACCGGAATGATGTCGCGGTAGAGATACGCCCAGGTTGGCATGCCATGCATGAGCAACATTACCGGACCATCTGCGGGACCCTCATCAATATAGTGCACCCGCATATCCTGCCAGGTGTGGTAGTGCGGTGCGTAGTTGAAGTCCGTCAATTCAGCAAAATTTTCTTCAGGTGTTCGCAGGAAATCGGTCATGGCGGGTGTCCTTTTGAATGAAACTGAGCGCCGGCATTTTGTTTGACGGTCGAGCCAGGATGAAGCTTACAAAATATCCGGGCTCGATTCTTGCGCCAAACTGTGCAAAATCCTATCTCTTGAAATTAAATAGATGGGGAAGTCATGAATTTCGAATTTGGCGAAGAACAAAATCTGCTGCGCGATCAGGCGCGGGGGTTTCTGACCGATAACTGCCCACCCGCGGTGGTGCGACGCGTGTTGGAAGGTGATGAGCTCTATGCTGCGGATTTGTGGCAGAAGATTGTCGAAATGGGCTGGACCGCTGTTGTCATTCCAGAGGAATACGGTGGTTTAGGACTGTCTTATCTGGAACTGGTGGTGATTGCGGAGGAACTCGGACGAGCCTGCGCGCCGGTACCCTTTGGTTCCTCGGTGTATCTGGCAACAGAAGCGCTGCTTGCAGCGGGTAATGAAACCCAGAAAGGGCTCTGGTTACCCAAGCTGGCTGCAGGTGAAGCGATTGGCAGTTTTGCTTATGCCGAGGGCAACGGACAACCCAGCGCCGCCAGTCTGCAAACCCGATTTGAGGGTGGCAAACTATCCGGTCACAAAGCCGTTGTGGCAGATGCACAGATCTCGCAGGTGATGATTGTGGCCGCGCGCAGCGCAAGCGGAGACGGTGCATCACTTTATCTGGTGCCCACCGATCAGGATGGCGTCAGCTTTGAGGCGGTAAAAACCCTTGATCCAGCAACAAATCACGCCAACGTCACGTTCAATGGCGCGTCAGCTGAACTGTTAGGCGCTGAAGGTGGCGGTTGGGCCCTGTTAGAGCAACTGCTCGACGGTGCTGCGGTTCTGTATGCCTGGGAGCAGCTTGGCGGATCGGATCGATGTCTGGAAATGGCCAAAGACTATGCCATGGGTCGTTACGCTTTTGGTCGCCCCATCGCATCTTACCAGGCCATCAAACACAAGCTGGCCAATATGTATGTGAAAAACACGCTGGCAAGGTCTAACGCTTATTTTGGTGCCTGGGCCCTGAACACCGGCGCAGCTGAATTACCCCTGGCTGCGGCAACCGCGCGGGTCGGCAGCACCGAAGCTTATTACTTTTCCTCAAAAGAGAACATCCAGACCCATGGCGGCATGGGCTACACCTGGGAGTTTGATTGTCAGTTCTATTACCGCCGTTCAAAAGTGCTTGCTGTGACGATCGGCAGTGAAGGCTTATGGCAGGAAAAACTTATTCAAGCATCAGCGCAAGCTGACGTGGCATAACTGGAGATATCATTATGGATTTTGAAGATTCAAAAGAAGAAGCAACCTTTCGCAGTGAAGCGCGCGCCTGGTTGGAAGCGAATATCCCCAGCGAAGATGAGCTGGCCGGCATGGATGGCATGGCGCGGGCGAAGTTCTGGCAGAAACGTAAAGCGGATGCCGGTTGGGCGTGTATTCGATGGCCCCAGGAGTTTGGTGGTCGTGATGCCAATGCGATTCAGCAGGTGATTCTGAGTCAGGAAGAAGCCAAAGTGGCAGCGCCGGAAACCGGCGTGTTCAGTATTGGTCAGGGTATGGCTGCACCCACCCTGATGACCTGGGCGGATGAAGATGCGAAGAAACAGTTTCTGCCGCGTCTGGCCAGCGGCGAAGACATCTGGTGTCAGTTGTTCAGTGAGCCTGCGGGTGGTTCTGACCTGGCCGCGCTGCGCACCAAGGCTGAGAAAGACGGAGATGACTGGATCATCAACGGGCAGAAGATCTGGACCTCCGGTGCACACTATTCTGACTGGGGCATTCTGGTGGTGCGTACGGATCCTTCAGTGCCGAAACACAAAGGCCTGTCCTATTTCTATGTGGATATGAAAAGTCCTGGCATTGAAATAAAGCCGATACGGCAGATTTCCGGTGAAGCCAATTTCAACGAAGTCTATTTTACCGATGTGCGTATTCCTGACAGCCAGCGTCTTGGCGATGTTGGTCAGGGTTGGCAGGTCTCTCTAACCACCCTGATGAATGAGCGTGCCAGCATTGGCGCCGGTGGCGGTGGTACTAAATTCAGCACTGTGAAAAAACTGGCTGAAACCGTGCAGATCAACAACAAGCCAGCCATCGAAGACAGTCATGTTCGCGCGAAGCTGGCATCCTGGTATGTTCAGGAAGCTGGACTGAAATACACCAGCTATCGAACGTTGTCTGCTTTGTCGCGTGGCGCAATCCCGGGTCCGGAAAACTCAATCGGTAAACTTGTTGGTGCGGTAAAGTCGCAAGACATGGCTTCTTTTGCTATCGACCTCCTCGAGCAGCAGGGCATTGTTCGCGATGCAGCCGCAGATGAGATGTTTGGCAGTCTGTTTCAGGATACCTACATGGCCATCCCAGGCTTGAGGATTGCCGGCGGTACAGATGAGATAATGGCCAACATTATCGCTGAGCGGGTCTTAGGCTTGCCTCAGGAGCCTCGTATGGACAAAGGTATTCCGTTCTCGGAAGTGCCCACAGGCAACTGATCAGCGCGTATGTTTGACCGGTAGGTCAACAAACTCTGCAGGCCTGGATTCACTCTTGGCCTGCAGGGCTTCCATAATTTCCGCGTTGTTCATCATGGATGTATTCCAGATGCTGATGTAGTCCAGCGCATCGGCAGTGCTGTGATCGCGGGCATAGTTGATCATCCGTTTTGAGCCGTAAACCGCTGCAGGTGCTTTGCTGGCGATTTCAGCAGCAATTTCCATGACCCCATCCAGCATGCTTTGCTGATCCGGGTAAACCTGGTTGACCAGCCCCACCTGTTTGGCTTCCTGCGCGCCCAGCTTGCGTCCCGTATAGGCGAGCTCTCGTACAATGCCTTCCGGGATCAGTTTAACCAGCCGGGGGAATGTGCCAACATCAGCGGTGAGTGCAATGTTGATTTCCTGTACCACCAGGAACGCATCTTCCGTGGCATAGCGCATATCACAGGCGGTTGCCAGATCAACACCGCCACCATACGCGCCACCCTGAATTGCAGCGATAACCGGAATACGTGCGTTTTCCAGCACGTTGAAACTTTCCTGCATGTGCGAGATATGATTATAGGCAGCCACCGCGCGCTGATTTTTATGTGGCTTATCAGCAGTGTCAGCGCTGGAAAACATGGTTAGATCCAGCCCGGCAGAAAAATGTGGCCCGGTTGAAGAGATAACAATGACCCGAGCCCGGGCGTTGTTATCGATGTCCTCAATAATGGCAGGAAACTCCTGCCAGAAATCCTGGTTCATCGAGTTGCGCTTTTCCGGACGATTCAGGACGACGTGGGCGATCTGGTCTTTGATCTCCACGGCAAAACATTTGTAGCTCACAATCTTCTTCCAGTCATTTTGGGCTTGGATGTTACCCAGGTATAGTCGGGTAATAAATAGCGTCGGGGGAGAGCTATGCAGTTGATAAACGATGAGCAGTGGGCACAGCGATGCCTTGATGATGGTGAGTTCATGCAGGCAGCCCGCCACTGGCAGGGCGGCTTGTGTCTGCAGATAGGGGAGCAGCACAAAGCATTGACCCTGATTGACGGGCAGCCTCGGGGTGGTCTGGCGGATGGGGTGGAGAATGTGTTGGTGTTTGCGGGCGCGCCAGGTATCTGGCAAAAAGTACTGGCAGCAGTACCCGACAGATTTCAGCATGACCTGATGGCAAACATCTCTGCAGGGCAGGGACTGTCCAGGTCCGGAGACGCCGTGTTGCACGCTCAGTACTACGCTGCGGTCATGCGCGCTATTGAATTGCTGCGGCCAGCTACCGAGTCTGTTCTCGCGCACGCCAACCCGGTTCAGGGTGACTTTGCAGAGCCGGTTGGGCGCTACGTCTATCTAAATCTGGCGGGTGCGGATTACCGGGTTTATTTTGAGGAAGCGGGGCAAGGTATTCCATTGCTGCTGCAGCATACCGCGGGTTGTCATGGCAGTCAGTGGCGTCACTTGTTTGAAAACACGGCAATCACCTCGCGTTTTCGTTTGATTGCCTACGATCTGCCGTTTCACGGTAAATCTCTGCCACCTCAGAATCTAGCCTGGTGGACCGAAGAATATCAGCTGCGGGGTGATTTTCTGCGTTCGGTGCCCCTTGCGTTGTCCGCTGCATTACAGCTTGATAGGCCGGTGTTCATGGGGTGTTCCGTAGGCGGGCTGCTGGCTCTGGATCTTGCACATAAACACCCACAGGCGTTTCGTGCGGTGATTGCGGTGGAAGGCGCACTGCAGATAGAAGGCAGCACCGCGGCGCTGGGCGAACTGTGGCATCCGCAGGTGAGTAACGAATACAAAGCCCGACTTATGGATGGTTTAATGGCGCCGGGCTCGCCGGTGAATCTGCGTAAAGAGACCAGTTTTGTTTATGCCAGTGGCTGGCCGCCTGCCTTTCTGGGAGACCTTCATTACTACATGGATGAATTTGATCTGTGTGAGGTGGCGGGCGAAATCGATACCGCTCAAACTGCCGTACACATTCTGTCTGGGGAGTACGATTACAGCGGCACCAGCGAGCTGGGACAGGCAGCTCACGCTGCAATTCCAGGATCAACCTGGTCCGAAATGCGCAGCGTTGGTCATTTTCCAATGTCGGAAAATCCCGAGGCGTTTATTGAATATCTAGCGCCGATCCTGGATGGTATAGCGTGAAATATCTTGTTAGGGGAAGTTTATGCGTGTAGGGGTGTCCCTGCCGATCCGGGAAATGGGCGCTGATCTGGGTGCGATCCGGGAGTTTGCGCTAGCTGCGGAGAGCCTTGGCTTAACGCATCTGCGCGTGCCTGATCAAGTGATTCGGCCTGATGGCGGTTACGTGCATGAATCCATGACGCTACTCAGTTACCTGGCCGCGATAACTCAGAAGATTGAATTAGTCCCGTCGGTGCTGGTGTTGCCATTGCGCCAAACCGCGCTTGTCGCCCGACAAAGCGCCCAGTTGGACGTTTTGTCTGGCGGGCGATTGAGGTTGGGTGTGGGGATTGGCATCAATCGAGATGAATATCAGGCGATGGGCATCGACTTTCATACCCGTGGCGCCCGTTGTGATGAGCAGCTGGAGTTGTTACATGCGTTATGGACGCAGCCGGCGGTAGATTTCAAGGGTCGATTTCATACTGTTTCCAACATTGGGATTGAGCCGCGACCGCTACAACAGCCCATCCCTGTCTGGATAGGTGCGCGCTCGATTCCTTCCGACAGGGTGGTGCAGCGTATGGGTAAATGGGCATCCGGCTGGTTTGTGCTGGCAAACCCTGAGGAATTTGAGGGCGTTAAGCGGCGCGTAGATGCCGCCGCGAAGGCCGCGGGTAGGGATGCCTCAGCGATTGGTACTGAAGCGGGCGTTGCTGTGGCCGGGCCCAGGCAGCATGAGTGGCGCGAGCGTGTTACCCGATGGCACCAGATGGGACTGACACATCTCTGTTTACGTACGTTAGGCGGCGACCTTAACGTAAAAGATCACCTACCTACCCTGGAGCGAGCGATGGCGGAATTACCCGTATGAATGCACCCGAGTTGAAATTTGTTCAGGCCAACGGCGTCCGTCTGGCCTATTTTGAGCGCGGCAAGGCTCGTGCGGACAAGCCGACGTTATTGTTTGTGCACGCTACCGGTTTTCATGGTCGACTCTGGGATTATCAGGCTGAGGCTTTTCCTGAATATCACAGCATAGCCCTTGAGTTGCGGGCCCATGGCCGAAGCGAAAATGCCAGCTTTCACGACTGGAGTGACTTTGGCGTGGATCAGAGTGAATTTATAAAAGCTCTGGGTCTGCAACATGTTGTGGGTATCGCCCACTCCATGGGTGCGCATACATTGCTTGATGCTGCTGCTGTGACAGGTGTATTTGATCGCCTGTTACTGCTGGATCCAACGGTGGCCGAACCCGAGGCCTACAACGACAGTTATGAAGCCTCTTTTGGTGATCAACTGCATCCCGCAGCCAAGCGGCGCAACGAATTTGATTCACCGGAAGATATGTTAGCCCGTTTGTCAGGTAAGAGTTCGTTTCCATTTTTTCACCCCCGTATTCTGCGGGACTATTGCGAATACGGACTGGAAGCGACTGGTCACGGCAACTTTAGATTGTGTTGCCCGCCAGAGTTGGAAGCGCGGGTTTATATGACTGCGCGCACCAATGGCGAGGTGTATGACAGTATCCGTTCTCTGGATATTCCGGTCACTATTGTCAGGGCAAAACTGCCAGATCCTGATGCTGGCCAGGATTTTTCCTCGTCGCCAACCTGGCCTGAGTTAGCGGGTGAGTTCCCCCAGGCGAAAGACCTGCACTGGTCTGACTGCTCACACTTTATTCCGATGCAGCGTCCAGACGACGTGAACAAACTGCTTGCCGAGGAACTCCAGGCCTGGCGCAGTTAAACATGGTTATGTAATCAGGGGGACAGACATGCAAAGCTTTCCGTTAGAAGGCATCACCGTGTTGGATTTTGGGCAGGTCTACAATGGCCCGTATTGCGGGTTTCTGCTGGCGCAAGCCGGTGCCCGGGTGATAAAAGTCGAATCTTTAATAGGTGAGACCCTGAGGGGGCGAGGTATGGCAGCGTCTTCTGCTTATCCTTTTGCTTCGCTGAACGCCAACAAAGAAAGCATCACGTTGAATATCAAGTCAGCGCAAGGGCAGCAGCTGATCAAAGGTCTGGCGGCAGAAGTTGATGTGGTGCTGGAAAATTTTGCTCCGGGTACCATGGCGCGCTATGGCATTGGTGCGGATGTTCTGCGCGGTATTAATCCAAAACTGATCTATGCATCGAGTACGGGTTACGGTAATGCGCCGGGACCCTATAGAGATTTTCTGGGTATGGATTTCACGCTCCAGGCGATGGCAGGAGTGATGAGTATTACCGGAGAAGAGGGTGGCCCGCCGCTCAAAACGGCAGCTGCATTTGCTGATTTCCTGGCAGGTACTCATCTTTATGCAGGTATTGTTTCAGCCTTGTTCGGGCGGACGCAGTCCGGAGAAGGCGCTACGGTTGATATTTCCATGCAGGATTGTGTGGTGCCGACGTTGTCTACCGCGCTGGGTTCCTACTATGTTGCTGGAGAACAGCAGCCACGTGCGGGTAATCGTCATCCCGGCAAAGCGCTTGCCCCGTATAATGTTTATCCCGCTGCAGATGGTCATGTCGCCATTATCTGTATACGCGAAGGACACTGGCGAAACTTGTGCGCAGCCATGGATAACAACGTTGCGCTGCAGGACCCAAGATTTGCGACCATGGCTGAGCGGGCGGCAAATATGGATGTCGTGGATGACCTTGTCAGTGATTGGACTCGCCGTCTCAGCCGCGCTGAGATTTTACGGATTACCCAGGAGCATGGTGTTATCTGCTCGCCGGTGAACGACCTGGCCGATGTATTGGATGATCCCCACCTGGGCGCTCGCGGTACGCTGGAGAAAAGGCCACATGAAGCGTTTGGTGAAATATCTCAATTCAGAACCCCACTGCGCTTTACGGATCTTGAGCCCATGGCGTTACAAAATGCGCCTGCGCTGGGTGAGTCGACAGATGCGGTGTTGCAGGAACTGCTTGGTTTAGATGCTGATACGCTGGCGGAGTTGCACAAAAACGAAGCGATCTGACGGACGGGTAGCGACCTTCACCCGAAGGACTTATGCGCTGGCGACTCAATTTCTTCCTGGCCTGGTGCAGCCAGGCGCGTGGCCGCACTGGCGTATGCTCCGGTTGCGGGCACGCAGTTGAAAGCCCGCGCCAATCCAAACTCAGGCATGTTGTTGTACACACATTCGAATGTGCCAGGTTGACTCAGGTAGGTTTCATGCCAGATACCCACATCGCCATTAGAGCCAACCGCTTTGTTAAATGCCGCCCATGCTGGAAGGTGCTGCGAGCTGCGCGCTTTGGCGTAGTGTTCCAGAGCTTCGAATGAATCCCAATACTGCACCATGATCGAAGTGCGCCCGGACCAGCTTTCGATATGGCGTAAACCCATATCTCCGGCGGTCTTCAGCTCGTTAATCATTTTTCCCATAGCCCGTGCCACCGGCAACCATTTATGAATTTTCAGCGGTTTATTGATGCGCATGCCGATCAGGAACACCGCAAACTGGTCCTGTTCCACATGGGCGGTAACGCGGGCTTTGTTGATCTGATTGACTGAGCTGGTCATGATGATGATCCGCCATCTTTACAGTGGAAAGATTGAGCTTAAATCGACGCACATGTATTTGTCAAATATCCGGTATGGGGGCCTGTTCTGCGTGCAGCCTGATCAGCGGTTCAGCTCTACCAGTAGTTCCGAGGTTGCCGCCCAGTCGAGACAGGCATCGGTGATGCTCTGACCATAGTTCTCCGGGTGATCCTGCCGCCCGCCGCGCAGGTGGCTTTCGATCATGATGCCAACCAGGTTCTGCTGGCCCTGGCGTCTCTGTGCCATGATCTCCTTTGCCACAAATGGCTGCCTGTCCGGATCTTTGTTGCTGTTGCCGTGACTGCAATCGACAACAATGCCGGTGTGGATGTCTCTGGCAGCGAGTTCCTGGGCTGCCTGGGTAACGTCTTGCGCTGCGAAATTCGGCTTTTTTCCGCCTCGCAGAATAAGGTGGCAATCCGGATTGCCGGTGGTTTCCAGCAGCGCGGGGGCACCTTCTTTGGTCAGGGACGGGAACAGGTGACTGCTTCTTGCGGCCACCAGTGCATCCACAGCAACGCTGACGTTGCCGCTGGTTGAATTTTTGATGCCGACCGGCATGGATAACCCGGATGCCAGCTGTCGATGCACCTGGCTTTCAACTGTACGAGCACCAATGGCACCCCAACTGATCAGGTCAGAAAAATACTGGCCAAAGGTGGTATCCAGGAATTCGGTGGCGCAGGCCAGCTGCAGCGCGGTCAGCTCTGCAAGCAACGCTCGTGCCTGGCGCAAGCCATCGTTCACTTTAAAAGACTCGTCCAGATGCGGGTCGTTGATGAATCCCTTCCAGCCAACTGTGGTTCGAGGCTTTTCAAAGTACACACGCATGACAACAAACAGATTCTGATTGACCTGCTTTTGTAGCTCAGCGAGGCGCTGGCCGTATTCTATGACTGCGGCGGGGTCGTGCACGGAACAGGGTCCAACAATAACCAGCAAGCGTGGATCGCGACCGTTCACAATGTCCGCAATTGTATGGCGTTGCGCGCTGATGAACCGTTCGCTGGTGGCCGTGAGCGGGATGTCTTCGGCAAGGATTGCCGGGGCGATCAAAGGTCGCACCCGGTGTATACGTAAATTATCGATGTTTGACACCATAAGGCTGAAATTTTCTGCTGGATCTGGAGGAAGTAATAGTCATAGTAACGCGCGCGACAGGCGCTGTAACCGCCAACTGAAGTGTCACAATTCTGTCACGCTTGCTGCCTAGGCTGGCCGGGTACTGAAGCTCTCAGCTAAAGCAAAATAACTTTAAAGGTCTGCATGCCCGATCGAATATCTACCGCAAATGCTGCAACAGGATCTGTGGCGCAAAGCATTCTGCTCTGGCTCGGGGTGGTGGCGCTGGTATATCTGCTGTTGGTGGGTGTCAGCGTAGTAGGTGCAGGATTCAAATGGATATCCGGAGGTGCAGACGGCGCCGCCGCGATCTTCGCGTTTGCAAGCAATCCTATTGCCGGTGTCATTCTGGGCACGCTGGCAACAGCCCTGGTGCAGTCTTCCAGTACCGTCACGTCAGTTATTGTGGGTCTTGTTGCTGGTGGTGTGCCGGTGTCTCTGGCTGTGCCCATGATCATGGGGGCGAATATGGGTACCACCATAACCAATACCATCGTCAGCCTGGGTAACCTGCGTGACAGCGCCGCGTTTAAAAAATCGTTTCAGGCAGCCACGGTGCACGATTTTTTCAACCTTTTCAGTATTGTGATTTTCCTGCCCATCGAGATGATGTTTCATCCGCTGGAAAAGATGGCTGGGGTTGCTGCGGGATGGTTTGCCGGTGGCCAGAGCGCATCGATGTCGGATGCCAATTTCATCGGTGCCTTGACCAAACCTGTTGCTAATTATGTGGTGGATCTGGCAGGTGATCTGCCGGACAGCATCGGCGCCAGCCTGGCCATCGGGGTTGGTGTGTTGATGATCATGTTATCAGTTGTGTACCTCGGCAAACTGCTGCGGCGTGCGATGACCGGGAAGGCAAAAGGGGTCATGGAAAAAGCTATTGGCCGACGGCCTGAAACGGGTGTCATGTCAGGCGCGCTGGTGACGGTTCTGGTGCAGTCTTCGTCTACCACCACAAGTCTTGTTGTACCGCTTGCTGGTGCGGGTGTGCTGACCCTGAAACAAGTCTTCCCGTTCACAATGGGCGCTAACATAGGTACGTGTATTACGGCCTTGCTGGCTGCGACCGCAGTCACCGGCGCTTATCAAGTGTTTGCTCTGCAGATAGCACTGGTGCACCTGCTTTACAATCTGTTAGGTGTATTGGCTTTTCTGTATATCCCCTGGCTGAAAGCGCTGCCAATGCGGGCGGCTTCACTGCTTGGACAGAAATCTGCGGAGCACCGCAGCTGGGCGTTTGGCTATATCTTTGCAGTATTTTTTGTTCTGCCCGGTTCGGTATTCGGCGCGCAACTGCTCAGCGGCTCCGGTGACGCTGAGATCATTGACGCCCTCGAAAGTGAAGCTGCTCAGCAGTGTCAGGCTGAGATGGAAGGCTGCGCGGTAAATTTAGAATAAATAGATCTATGGCCACTGTGCTGCCTGATCTGGGTTAGTATCCTGCTCAGGGAGAAAGAGGGTTCAAGTAAACGTCATGCCTGCGACCACATCTACAGGTCCGTTGACGGACATCACGATCATCGATTGCACTATGGCATTGGCCGGGCCTTTTGGCACCGCGCTGCTTGCCGACCTGGGTGCCAACGTCATAAAAGTTGAACCCCCGACGGGTGACATGGCCCGGTCGGTTCCCCCCCTGCCTGAAGGTTACACAAACGCCGGCAGTGCTGATCAAAATACACAAAGCGGTGCTGCCGATTACGGCGGATACTTTGCCAGCATCAATCGCAATAAACGCAGCATTGTTCTCGACCTGAAAAATAAAGACGATGCTGAAGTGTTCATGCAGCTGTGTGAGCAGGCGGATGCTGTGGTGGAAAACATGCGCGTAGGCGTTATGGATAAACTGGGTCTGGGATACGAGGCAATAGCCGAGCGAAACCCCAAAATTGTCTATGGCGCCATTCGTGGCTTTGGCGATCCCCGTACCGGTGAAAGTCCTTACGCCAACTGGCCTGCTTATGACATAGTGGCCCAGAGTATGAGCGGCCTTGCTCAAATTACCGGGCCAGCAGATGGCGGCGGTTATCCAAGTGGGGTGAGTGTCGGTGATATATATCCTGGCACTCTGCTGGCGTTAGGTGTTGTGTCTGCCATCCATCACGCACGGGTATCAGGAAAAGGACAATTCCTGGATGTTGGGATGTACGATGCCATGCTCGCCTTCAACGAAACCACAATTGCCAATTATGGCTATGCCGGAATCGAACTCGGACCGCGTGGCCAGCATCATCCTAATCTCATGCCGTTTGGTTTGTTTCCAACTCTGGATGGCAGTGTCGCAATAGCTGCGCCTGGACCCGGTCACTGGGATGCGTTGTGTGACGCGATGCAGCGGGTTGATTTAAAAGATGATCCACGCACGAAAAATACATATGTGCGGCGGCGTCATCAGGCGTTTGTTGAAGCTGCGATAAGTGCATGGACCGAAACACTAAAAAAAGCCGAAGTGGTACAGGCTCTGGGTGGGCGCGTGCCGTGCGGACCGGTAAATACTGCATCAGATATTTTTGCCGATCCTCATGTGGCCGCCAGATCTATGATTACGCGGTTCAATCTGCCAGGGAAATCAGAACCCGTTGCCATTGTCGGCAGCCCGATCAAATATACGCAAACCCCGGCGGGCTTCTATCGATTACCACCGGGCCTAGGCGAGCATACACAGGAAATTCTGGGTGAGTTTGGTATCAGACTCGACCCATGACACGAAAAGTTCAAAAGATGTTTAACAAGGAGAAGCAATGAGCGATTTTGAAAATAAGGTAGTCATCATAACCGGTGCTGGCGGCGGTCTGGGTAAAGCGCATGCGCTGGAATTTGCCCGGCGCGGTGCGAAAGTAGTGGTCAATGATCTCGGCGGCAGCGGTGACGGTACCGGTGCCAGCGATATGGCGGATGAAGTTGTTGCTGAAATAAAAGCTGCGGGTGGTGTGGCCATTGCCAACAAAGCTTCAGTGTCCAGTCGCGAAGGTGCGCAGTCGATTGTAGACGACGCAGTTGCAGAATTCGGAACCGTGGATATTCTTGTTAACAACGCCGGCATTCTTCGCGACAAGAGTTTTAAAAAGCTTGCTCTGGATGACTGGGACATTGTCATGGACGTGCATCTGAACGGCTCGGCTTATGTCACCCACGCCGCCTGGCCCATCATGTACGAAAAAAATTACGGTCGGATTGTGTTTACCAGCTCTACCTCGGGCATCTTTGGTAATTTTGGTCAGGGCAATTACGGCGCGGCCAAAATGGGTATGTTAGGGCTTATGAACGTGCTGGAAAAAGAAGGGCGGGCCAAGAACATTCGCGTTAACTGTCTGGCGCCTGCCGCTTCAACCCGATTGATTAACACTATTCCGGGGCGCGATGAAGACCTGGACAATCCCGATCCCATGCGTCATCCGAAGTTAGTCACACCGGCGGTATTGTTGATGTGCGCGGACGATGCGCCAACAGGTAAGGTTATTCTTGCAGGTAACGGTCGTTTTTCCACCGCTGCAGTGTTCAATAATGAAGACCTGGAGTTTGATGCAGATGTCACCTATGAGGATCTGCTGAGTAAAAAGGATCAGCTTCTCGATATGAGCCAGGCAACTGAAGGCTGGGGTTGGCTGGCTAAGCGTATGCGCGAGCAGTAGGCGCGGGCAGCCGTTCAGGCGACGGCTTTTTTGAGCAGGTCGACCCGGTTTTCAGTGAGAAAGGTATAGCCTTTTGCCGGGTCACCGTAGCTCTCGAACTTGGCTTTGACCTGCTGGATTAACTCCGGCGTCAGAATGTGTTCGGTATGGGTCGCCGCCATGACGCCTTTTTCGAACTGGCCAAAGTGTTTGAGGGTGACCTGGTTTTTGAAGAAATATTCCTGTTCCAGCTTAAGGTGACGCGCGGCTACAGTTTTTTCAAGCGCACCAAAAGCCGCCTGCCTGACTTTGGATTCGTCATGAAACAGGCGCAGGACCTCATTAAAGTCGCCGGCGAAGACGGGTTCTGAAATGTAAGCCAGGCCACCGGGCTTTAATACGCGTTTGATCTCCGCGAGGGCTTGGTCCATCAAATCCAGTGGCACGTGGTGCAGGGATTTGAACATCAGGATAATGTCAAAAGCATTGTCAGGCGCGTCGATCGCTTCGGCGCCAAACGTTGCAAACTCTATTTTAGGCAGGGTACCAAGCGCGATGTTCTTGGCGTGAGCCTGTGGATCCACCTCTGCAGCCACAATGCTGGCGATGGGGGTTTTCTCGGCGAGTTCGCGGGTCTTTTCTGCCGTGCCGCAGCCAAGTTCCAGAACATGGGCGTTTTTCAATGGCAGGAGTTTAGCCAGGACTTCAATTTCATCAGCAATATCCTGCTCTGCGGGTCCAATCAGTTGCATAAAATGTCCGTAACAGTAGGTGTGCGGGTGCAAAGCCATTTAATATGTACTGCAAATAAAAACAATTCAACTGAACAGCAAAAACAAAAAAAGGTTGTGCATGCAAACGTTTACGCTCAACGCCAGCGATGGCGCAGAAGTGGCCTGTTATTTCTGGGCCTGTGAAACACCCAAGGCGGTCGTGCAGATAGCGCATGGCATGGGCGAGCACGCGCAACGCTACGGCGCGGTGGCGGAGCACCTGAACCAGGCGGGTTATGCAGTGTATGCCAATGATCATCGTGGTCATGGGGTGACGGGGCAGGCTAACCTCGGATACATGGGTGGCGACGGCTGGAACCGTGTACTGGCTGATGCCTACGAGTTAAATGCTGAGATTGCGCGCCAACATCAGGGTCTGCCTCGCATTCTGTTGGGCCACAGTATGGGGTCCATGATGTCTCAGCAGTATATTACACGTTATGGCTACAGCATCGACCTGCTGGTGCTTTCCGGTTCGCCAGGTTTCAAAGCCAAGTCTGCCGGTTTGCTGTCGCGCAGCATTGCAAAGTTTGAAAAATGGCGCCTGGGTGCCGGACAGTCCAGCGATGTCTTACAGCGACTGTTGTTTGGTGATGCCAACAAACCTTTTGCTGGTGAAGGGGCAACGGGTTTTGAGTGGCTGTCTCGGGATGCACAACAGGTGCAGTTGTATCTTGATGACGACGCCTGTGGTTTTGTACTTTCCACGGGTTCTCTTGTGGATCTGTTTGCAGGTTCCAGCACGGCAACCCAACCTGAAGTCCTGGCAAAAATCCCGCGTGACCTGCCTATCTATGTTTTTTCCGGCACCGAAGACCCGGTTCACAGTGAGCAGAAAGATATCCAGCGCATGTTGCAGGCATTTAACGACCAGGGTCTGTCCCGGGTTGAGGTTAAATGGTACCAGGGTGGTCGGCACGAGATGTTTAACGAAACTAATCGTGATGAGGTACTGGCTGACCTGGTGAACTGGTTGGACACAAATATCCAATAAAGCCCAGGCCTGCCAGGCGAAATAGCGGTTTCGAACTACACTTGTCCAAGTGAGTTGGAAACCAGCATGAATCAGAGTGCACAAAAACAACCGTCTCGGCGGATTGAGCTGTGGCGGGGCAAGTTAAACGCCTCGGGTTTGCCCGTGTTCTCCCGTACAATCCGGGACATCCGTAATGTCTCTTCCAGCAGTCGTTCCTCCGCTCAGGACCTGTCTGATGTTATTGGCCATGATGCCTCAATGGCTGCTCGGGTTATTCAGATAGCCAACAGTCCTCTGTTTAATCTGCAGAACCGGGACATTGATACCATCAGTTCTGCTGTTGTGCTGGTGGGTTTTGATGCTGTGCGTGAACTGGCCATTTCGGTATCAGTCATTGAGGAAATGCTCAAAGGACGCCAACACGCGCGGGTTGGGCAACATATGGCACAGGCCTTTCACGCAGCCGCTCAAGCGCGTTCGTTTGCGCGTATCTGTGGACACAAATGTGAGGAAGTTTTTGTTGCCGCCCTCCTCAAAGAAGTGGGTGACATGGCGTTCTGGTCGCGCGCGGACCGTGAAGCGATGGCGATTGAAGCGCTGGTAGTCGGTGGCGCGGACCTGCTGCAAGCCCAGCGGGAGGTGCTCGGGTTCGAGCTTTCGGAGCTGGGGCGTGTGCTCGCTGCAGACTGGAATCTCGGCGACCTTGTTGGCCACGTTCTGGATGGTCGTCACGATGAGTTACCGATGGTACAACATGTACAGTTTGGCCATCAGGTGGCGAACCTTTTGCGCAATCATGATGTGGAGTCAGAAGCGCTGATCGATGTAGTAGGTCAACTGGCAAAACACCTGAACATGAAGGTGACTGATGTCAAAACCCTGATCCGCAATAACCTTGATGCAGCGGGCAACATTGCCAGGCAATTTGGTGTATCGCAGTCATTGCTGCTGACTGACAAGTCATCTCAAGAAAATACTGAATCAGACAAACGGACGACTGCTGACTCAGGTACAAGCTCAGAGGCGAGTCACAACCCGCCGGTTTACAACGCGGAGGTGCTGTTCAGTGCTCTGACAAATCTGGCTGAGGAACTCGAGGGTGGTGCTTCCCGCGATGAACTGATGCAGCAGATTGTTGATGGTCTGCACCAGGCTGTGGGTTTCTCTCATGTTTACTTTGCTTTGTTTACGCCCGACCGAACCAAACTGGTGGTCAAATACAGCGCCGGTGTTGATGCAGCAGCAGCGCATGCGTGGCCGCCACACGATCCGAAAAGCGTGCCGGTTTTTGTCAGTGCCCTGGCTGACTTCAAGGCGCAGATTTTCACCGACGTGGTGCGGCAGGACGCCTGGCATTTTGGCGGGTCCGGTGCGGTTGTCGCCGTCAAGCTTGCGCAGAAACCTGTGGGTATGTTGTATGCGGAAAACGATGTCGGGCAGTCGGTCAGCCCGGAGCAGTTTATGGGCTTTCGGCAGCTCGGGCAGCAGATTGCACTGGTCCTGTCTCAGGCCGCCTAAAAAACCCATACAAGAAATGCAGCGCGGCGTTACACTGACGCCATGATCACCCTGATTCTCGATGGCCGCTATGAAGTGTTTGTGCTGCTTGTTATTGCACTTGTGGTATCACTGTCTTTCCATGAATTTGGTCACGCGATTGTGGCTAAATGGCAGGGTGACGATACAGCGGAGCGGGCTGGTCGTCTTACCTTGAACCCGATTGCCCACCTTGATCCGGTGGGTTTTCTCATGGTTGTTTTCATCGGTATTGGTTACGCCAAGCCGGTGCCTACTGATCCGCGTAATTTCAAGTCTGCGATATCTGATTTATACGTTGCGGCAGCAGGACCGTTGATGAATCTGTTAACGGCGCTGATCAGTTGGAACATTTTCCTGTTGCTGATCAAAGCAGGTTGGCAGAATCCTGGCGGCGAATTATTTTTCACGCTGCTTGCGCAGATCAATCTGCTGTTGATGCTGTTTAACCTGATTCCTCTGGGTCCTCTGGATGGGCACTATATCCTGCCGCATTTCCTGCCGAAAAATCTGGCCTACCAGTATCGGGTCATGAATATGCGTTATGGCACCGCGATTTTCCTGGGCTTGATCGTGGCCAGTTTTATGGGGTTGCCTCTGCTGGTATATCTGCAGAAAGCCTCTTTATTCATGCTCAACCTGATCACCCTAGTGCCCATGTAGCTCATGTAAAGGCGCGGCGTTTGAAAGTGACCGGGTGATGGTGAAGATGATAGGGTTGCGTACTCTTTTTTTCACGCTGAACGATGTCGCCTAGAAACAACTACCTGTTCGCCACCAGTACCTGGTTCATGGCATGGGGTATGCAGTCGGTGGTATTTGCCTGGCTGGTCACCATTGTGCTGCGCGAACCGGCCGAATTGGTTGGCTGGGCGCAAACAGCGTTATTGCTGCCCGGCATGCTGTTTATTCTGCTGGCCGGGGTGATAGCTGATCGCGTGGGGCCCGACCGTCAGGCACTTTTTGCACAACTGGCCGGAGCAGTGGTGCCCTGGATTCTGATCGCGGCAATTTACGCAGGTTGGTTGAGTTTCCCTGTCATGCTGGTTTACGCCGTGCTGATGGGTCTGGTTCAGGCCTTTGTTACCCCAGCCAGAGACGGTTTGCTGAATCATGTGTCGGGCAACAAGGTGCAGCATACGGTTTTGCTGACCAGCCTGTTCCAATTCGGTTTCCAGATTGTCGGCTATGGGATCGCTGCGTTTTCGGATCTTCTTGGTGCTTCTGTGGTGTTGGCAATGCAGAGCCTGTGTCTGCTGGCTGGCGTTGTGGCCTATTGGCAAATACGTCAATCCGGCATCGTTGAAACACAGCCCCGCACCACTGACTCTGTCCTGCAGAGTGTTCTCCAGGGTGCCAGAACCGTCGCCGGCTCACCCGTCATGCGTACAGTGGTGATACAGAATGTCGCCATGGCAATGTTTTTCATGGGCTGTTTTATTGTCTGTTTTCCGCTTGCCGTGCGGGAAGTGTTTAACGGGTCCTCCACCAGTCTTGGGCTGCTCAATGGCCTGAATTCAGCAGGTCTTGCGTTGACCATTCTGGTGATGTTGAGAATCGGCTATGTGAAACGTGCGGGACGTGCTTTGTTGGTGGCCCAGGGGTTGGGGTCCATGGTGCTGATTCTCAGTGGTAGCGTCCAAAGTTTTACTGTGTTTATTGTTCTGGTTTTCTGTTGGGGTTTATGTGGTGGTGCTGCGATGCCGATGTCTCGAACCATGATGCAGGAGTTAGCGCCGCCGTCGCAGCGTGCCCGTGTTATGAGTTTCTATGCCTTTTCGTTTATGGGCGCGGGTCCCATTGGTACCTTGTTTGCCGGCTATCTGTCTGAGCTTGTTGGTCCGCAGATGGCGATTCAGATATCCGGAGCGCTGATGCTGACCGTTGTGGTACTTGTCGGCCTGACTTCACCATTGTGGCGCGAAAATTTTGAGCAAGCGCCCGCTGGAGCAAGCTAGTGGCGGTGCGTTTGAGTGTAGATATTGGCGGTACTTTTACGGATGTTGTCGTTCAGCAGGGGCTGATGGTGACTTCGGTCAAAGTGCTGACCACACACGCAGACCCGGTGACTGGTGTTCTGCAGGGCGTTGATGATGTGCTGGCACGTACGGGCATTGCCGCGGCTGATGTGCAGCTAGTACTGCATGGCACCACGCTTGCGACAAACGCCTTGATAGAGCGTCGTGGCGCAAAAACCGCATTGCTGACCACTGCTGGACACCGTGATGTGCTTGCCATGGCCTTTGAAAACAGATTTGAACAGTATGATGTGAACATCGACCGGCCCGCCCCGCTGGTGCCCCGCCACTGGCGGGTAGGAGTTGCCGAGAGAGTGGCTGCTGATGGTCAGACTCTGCTGGCTTTAGATGAAAGCGGGCTCATGTCTGAAGTGCATGCGCTGGTAGAGCAGGGCGTTGAATCCTTAGCTGTCGGCTTTCTGCACAGCTATCGCCAACCTGCCCACGAGCTTCGTGTTGCACAGCTTGTTAAACAGAGTTTTCCGCAACTTTGGGTTTCGTTGTCCTGCGAGGTTTGTCCGGAAATACGTGAGTACGAACGTATGTCCACAACCACCGCAAATGCTTATGTGAAGCCGCTGATGGCCGGTTACCTGGAGAGATTGCGAGCCGTTCTGGTTGAACGTGGTTTCAACTGCAAGGTGCTTTTGATGACCTCCGGTGGTGGCTTGACGACGCTGGATGCGGCAACTCGATTTCCGATTCGTCTGGTTGAGTCCGGTCCAGCTGGCGGTGCGATGCTGGCTGCAAGTGTGGCTAAATCTCATGAGGAAAGCAGCGTGGTTTCTTTTGATATGGGTGGCACCACCGCCAAGCTGTGTTTAATTGAGAAGGGTGTGCCGCAACATTCACGCGCTTTTGAAGTCGACCGCAGTTATCGATTTAAAAAAGGCAGCGGCCTGCCAGTCAGAATTCCGGTTGTGGAGATGGTTGAAATTGGTGCTGGCGGCGGGTCCATCGCCAGTCTGGACAGTTTGAAACGGATTCACGTCGGCCCTCAGAGTGCGGGTTCTGAGCCCGGGCCAAGCTGCTACGGGCGCGGTGGGACGTTGCCGACAGTCACCGATGCAGATCTGCTACTGGGTCGTCTGCTGCCGGAAAATTTTGCTGGTGGCAGAGTGAACCTCTCGGTTGAGGCGGCGACCGAGGCACTTGAGCACCATATCGCGCAGCCGCTGTCACTGGATGTATTGTCTGCGGCGCTGGGGATCAGCGAAATTGTCGATGAGAACATGGCTGCTGCTACCCGTGCGCATGCAGCAGAGTGGGGCAAACGTGTACAAGGCACCTGTCTGGTTGCGTTTGGTGGTGCTGCACCGCTACACGCGGCGCGCCTGGCCCAGAAGTTGAAAATCCCGCGGGTGCTGATTCCGCCCGGCGCGGGTGTGGGTAGCGCCATCGGGTTTCTACTCGCCCCGGTGCGATATGAATTAGTGCGTAGCGCTTACGCGCTGTTGGCAGAGCTCGACCAGGCAGAAGTCACGGGACTGTTTAAACAGATGCGCGCCGAGGCTGCCGAAGTGCTCGATGATGCTGGCGCTACGGGTGAGCGAGAAGAGCGGCGGGAAGGTTATATGCGATATGTCGGGCAGGGTTACGAGATTGCCGTAGATGTCTCAGACCTGCAGGCGCTGTCTGTTGATGATATCCGTAGTCGTTTCGAACGTACTTACGAGCACCTGTATGGGCGCACTATTCCGGATCTGGCCATAGAAGTGCTCAGCTGGACGTTATCACTCTCCAGTGAACCGATGACAAAAACCTTACAGGCGGCAGATGCCCAGGCCATGGAGCAGGCGGTGAGTGATCAGGTTCAGTGGTGGTCAGGTGATAGCGCGTTTACCGCAAAGGTCTTGCCGCGTGCAGAGCTGCAGGTGGGTCAGAGCTATGCCGGTCCGCTTGTGATCGCTGAGACTCAGACGACCACAATTGTGCCAGCGAGCGCCCGGGTTTCTGTCTGCGCAGATGCTTCCCTGTGTATAGAACTTGCCGTGCAGGAGGACTAGGTCATGCAGGAACTGCAAATTCAGCTGGCGTGGAACCGACTGCTTGCCATTGTTGAGGAACAGGCGCAGGTGTTAATGCGTACCGCGTTCAGCACTGTTGTCCGTGAAGCGGGTGATCTGTCCGCCGGTGTGTTCAACCCTGCTGGTGACATGCTTGCACAAGCGGTGACGGGCACACCCGGGCATGTTAATTCGATGGCGGCAGCAGTGGCTAAATTTCTTGACAAATTTCCTCTGGCCACCCTGCAACCGGGCGATGTGCTGCTGACGAATGATCCCTGGGACGGTACCGGACACCTGAATGACTTCACCGTGGTGACGCCGGTTTTTTCCGCACAGGGGTGTGTTGCTTTGTTTGCCTCGACCAGCCACATCGCAGATGTTGGCGGGCGCGGTTTTGGGCCTGACGCAAATGATGTTTTTGAAGAAGGTCTGCGTATTCCTATTTCGCATCTTTTTCGCGCCGGTATACGCAACGACGTGCTCATGGACATACTGCTGGCTAACGTTCGCGATCCGCTGGTGGCGCAGGGTGATCTGTATTCCTTGACCGCGTGCAACGATGCTGGTGCAGCGGCGCTGCTGGATATGATGCAGGACTTGTCTTTGCCTGATTTGGATGAGTTGGGGGCTACCATCATCCAGCGTTCAGATGACGCCATGCGGGAGCAGATTGCACGCTTGCCTCAGGGACGTTATGCCTATGCCATGACCGTAGACGGCTACGACGAACCGGTTGAGATCAAAGCCGAGATGCATATTGACGGCAGACAGATCACAGTGGATTTTGCAGGTTCTTCCGGGGCCAGCCCTCGAGGGATAAATGTGCCCTTAGCCTACACCCAGGCTTATGCTTCTTTTGGTGTTCGTTGCCTGGTGGGAAATGAGATACCTAATAATGCAGGATCACTTGCGGCGATACATGTGCGAGCACCACAAGACACCTTGCTGAACGCACGCTCGCCCAGAGCGGTATCTGCCCGCCACAGTATTGGCCAGATGTTGCCTGATGTGGTGTTGGGGTGTCTTGCTCAGGTGTTACCGGAATCCGTGCCAGCTGAGGGTGCTTCGTGTATCTGGAATCCAGTCTTCATGCATGCATTAGGTGCTGCTGATGATCAGCAGTTTGTGATCAACCCGATCTTCAATGGGGGTACCGGAGCGCGTCCACACAAAGATGGCTTGTCCACTACAGCGTTTCCCTCTGGCGTACGGACTACCTCGACTGAAGTTAATGAAGTGACCTCACCTTTACTGTTCTGGTGTAAAGAGTACACGCCCGGTTCGGGCGGAGAAGGCCGGTTCCGGGGTGGTCTGGGACAGACGATCCGGGTCAGTCATAGATATGCACAGCCGTTCGTGATCTCCAAGATGTTTGATCGTATTGTGCATCCAGCGCGTGGTCGCGCACGCGGTTTGGATGGTGGGCCAGGGGCGGTGACCGTCGAGCATGCGGATGGCACCTCACAGTCTCTGGCGGGAAAAGGCCGCGAGCAGGTGCCAGCACAGGCTACCCTGGTGCTGAAAACACCGGGTGGAGGTGGATTCGGTCCAGTGGAAAAGCGCACGCGGCAAGCAGAGCAGGCGGATCAACAGGCTGGGCTTGTGAACAAAGCTGACAACCGCTGATTGACCCACCATTCAGCGGGGTTTGTGTTCCGTACCCGGGCAGGGAGTAAAGTAAAGCGCGTTGATGGGTGTCTCGATATTGGCGGTATGCCATACAACCGCTGGATTGATCACGGCGCTGCCAGCTTCGACGGGCAACCTGTGTTGTACACCATCGATATCCTGAATAAATTCTCCTTTCCCGCTGAGCACAACTACAATCTCTTCACCCTGAGTGTGTCGTTCCCATGAGTCCCAGTTGCGTGGTGATGCTTCGATCATCATGATTCGTCCAGGCTGCTGCTCGGAACAGTGGTGATCGATGTATTGCTCAAAAGATGCCCCATCAAAATTGAAGTCCTCAAGGACAACGGCGGGTTCAGCATTTTTGCCTATACTGGAAATATGTAGCGGTTTAGACCTCAAGTCGATGGCGTTAGCGAGCATTGTTGACTCTCCGTTTAGTGTAGGGTGCTCAGGACAAATGGCTGTGCCAGGGTCCTGAGTCCGATTTCCCTTGACAGCGCGGGCTACCGTCAAGAACATGATTGTCCAGAATTCCGCAGTGGCAAAGTCCCACTTAAGGCAAACTGAGCGTGCTTTTGCGTCGATTAAATGTATTTTTTCTGGTTCTCGCCAGCCTGCTGACTTCGTCTGCTGTGGTCGCGGTGACACCGCTTGATCGCAGTGATCTGCAATCAGCCTGCGAAGCCTACGAAGATGATCCGGCAAGCCCATCTGGCTTGCATTGTGTGCTTTATATTCAAGGTTTTCTAGACGGCGCGGTGGCCACCGACGAGCGTGTCACCATGAACATCGCTGACGAACTGGACCGGTCCGAAACCCTGACTGAACGCGCTATTCGTACGCGTCTTGGTGATCGGGTCAGGGTCAGTGGACCCACCATCTATGCTGAGTATTGCGTCGGTGATCCGGTACCGGTGCAGGAATTAATCAGCCATGTGCTGGAGCAACTCAGCGATCCCGACGAGACAACACCCGCTCTGGCTCGAGACGTTGTTTACGCGTCTCTACGTCGGCACTACCCGTGTGAGGGATAAGGCTGTATGCGCCTGGTTCTGACATTTATCTTATGGATGGTCATCTGGCTTTTATGGAGTGGACTGTATAAACCGCTGCTGATTACGCTGGGTGTGATTTCTTGCCTGTTTACCCTGTTCCTCGCTCATCGAATGGGTTTTTTCAAGCGCGACGTCTTCAGTCTGCATCTGAGCTATCGGCTCATCCCTTTCTGGGGCTGGCTTGCTATTGAGCTGGTGAAATCGAATCTTGAGGTGGCGCGCATCGTTCTGTCGCCGAAAATGCCTATCACCCCGACGGTTGTGCAACTGACGGCGCAAACCAAGAATCCGGTCCTGCAGGCGATTTTGGGTAATTCAATTACATTGACCCCGGGCACAGTCACGCTGGATGATCACGAAGGCGAATTGTTGGTTCACTGCCTTACTCGGCAAGGTGCGGATGCCCTGCTGGAAGGGGATATGAACCGGCGTGTTTCGACTCTGCTGCATTCCTGATGGATCAACAATGATGGCCGCAAAGTGATGAATAAATTCTGATGGGTATGTACTACGTAGCTTCGGTGGCCATTTTTCTGACCATGATTCTGGCTTTGAGCCGGGCGTTGTTAGGGCCATCTGTATATGACCGGGTGCTTGCTGTGAATATGTTTGGCACCAAAACAGTGCTTTTATTGGCGGTGATTGCGTTTTTATACGGTCGCCCGGACTTTCTTGATCTGGCTCTGGCATATGCTCTGATCAATTTTATTGGCGTTCTCGCAGTCCTGCAGTTTTTCCAGAATCGACGGGATGATTCTTTGCCTGCCAATATTGAAGCACCCCAGGACGAGCACTGATATGCAATTAGGTCTCGATATTCTGAGTTGGGGTCTGCTTGCTGGTGGTGGCTTGTTTGTGCTCATTGGGGGCATAGGCATCATGCGTCTGCCAGATCTCTATACCCGCATGCATGCGGCCAGTCTGACGGACACTATGGGTACAGTGATGATCCTGTTGGGCATCATGTTGCAGGCGGGTTTGTCCCTCGCGGCTGTAAAGCTTGCTGCCATTGCCGTTTTCCTGTTGCTGACTGGACCCACTGCAACCTATGCGTTGGCAAATGCAGCGATGCTCTCCGGTCTGCGCCCACTGGATGTTGAAATGCCGCCAAACCTGCCTGAGGACATGCAGCCGTGACAGTTCTGTTCGGCATATTTCTGCTTACTTTGCTGGTCATTTCGGCAATCGGCATAGTCCGTGCTGAAAACCTGTTCACCGCCGTCATGCTGACGGGCATTTTTTCGCTCCTGATGGCGTCTAACTTCTTTGTGCTGGATGCGGCCGATGTCGCGTTAACCGAAGCAGCTGTAGGCGCGGGTGTGTCCACTGTATTGTTGTTGGGTGCTTTGGCGCTGATTCCCCCAAACGAAAATCGTCCCAAGGGTGTGCGTTGGCTTGCACTTTCGGTTGTTACCCTCACTGCGCTTACCGTAGGGTATGCTACTTTCGAGAAACCGCGCCTGGGAGATCCAGAAGCGCCGGTGCACCAGCATGTTGCGCCATGGTATCTGGAGCAGACACCTGTACTTATTGACATACCTAATGTCGTCACCGCCGTGCTGGGTTCCTATCGCGGCTATGACACTTTAGGCGAAGTGATTGTTGTGCTTACCGCAGGCATAGGGGTTTTATTCCTGCTTGGTCTGCCGGGGGCGTTTGGCGATCGTAAGCCAGAAGATGTTGCTGGTGGCCGTACTTATCTCAGTCACCACCTTGTGCCACAGGTTGTCGGGCAACTGCTTATACCTTTCATTATCCTGTTTGCGCTGTATGTTCAATTCCATGGGGAATACGGGCCTGGCGGCGGATTTCAGGCAGGCGCAATTTTTGCGGCTGCACTTATTCTGTTTGCGCTAATTCAGGGTGAGCGGGAAGCGCTTGTTCTAATACCTCCTCGCGTTCTTGTTGTGTTGATGGCGACGGGTGCGTTGCTTTATGGCAGCGTTGGTTTGGTGACTATGTTGTTAGGTGCCAATTTTCTCGAGTACGGAGTTCTATCGAGCAACCCGGTTGCAGGTCAGCAGTGGGGCATTATCCTCATTGAGCTAGGTGTTGGCATTTCGGTCGCATCAGTTCTGCTTGCGATTTATCACGCATTTGCAGCAAGAGGACGATAACGTTGGAATTCCTTGGCCTGTATAACTATTGGGTTTTTGTGGTGCTGTTGATGATTGGCTTCTACGCTGTCATCGCCAAGCCGAATCTGATGAAAAAGCTGTTGGGTCTGAGTATTTTTCAGGCGGCGGTTTTTCTGCTGTACATCACTATGGATAAAGTTGATGGCGGCACAGCACCCATCATTCAACCCGGCGTAGTTGATCAGATTTATTCCAACCCGCTTCCTCAGGTACTGATTCTCACCGCAATTGTTGTGGGTATCTCTACCATCGCATTGGGCCTGGCTGTTGTTGTTCGCATCTACGAGGCTTACGGCACCATCGAAGACGATGAAATTCAACAGGCGGACACTCAGGAGTGAGCCTCACCAGTCAATTACCCGCGTTGCAGATTGTGGTGCCGATGTTGTCAGCGCCAATGATCATGTTGTTGCGTGGCGGGAGTTTAGCCTGGGCAACAGCAACTGCCGCAAGTGTGATGGCGTTCTGTATTGCTGTTGCGCTGACGCTTGGGGTTCGCGATTTAGGCGTGCTGACTTATGCAATGGGTGGTTGGCCCGCGCCGTTTGGCATTGAGCTGAGAATTGATGCTTTGAATGCGCTTCTTTTGCTTGTGACAACGGGTGCATCTAGTGTGGCCCTGCTCAGCGGTCGTGTGAGTTTAGCTCGTGACCTTCCTGAAGGTCAGCAGCCCCTGTTTTATGCCGCCTGGATGATTGCGTTGACTGGTTTGTCAGGTATCGCGGTTACCGGCGACGCATTTAACGTCTTCGTTTTTATGGAGATTTCCTCCCTGGCAGGTTACATCCTGGTAGCAGCCGGTCCTGATAGACGGGCACTGACTGCAACCATCAAGTATCTGGTGATGGGTACTATTGGTGCCACCTTCTATCTGATTGGCGTTGGTCTTGTTTATATGATGACCGGTACGCTCAACTTTGCCGATATGGAGGGGCGTCTGGTTGAAGTGGGTGATCAGACCCCGATACTGGTTGCTGCCGGTTTCATCACCGTGGGGCTGGCGTTGAAGGCCGCAGTGTTCCCGCTACATGTCTGGTTACCTAATGCTTATCATCACGCACCACATATGGTCACCGCCTTTATGGCGGCTTGTACCACGAAAGTGGCGTTATATGTATTGTTGCGCTTCGATTTTGTCGTTTTTCAAGGCAACCTGACCGGGCATATGACCCAATATGCGGGTTTTCTTGCACCGTTGGCCATTCTTGGAATTCTGGTCGGCTCAGCCGTAGCGGTGGTCGAAGGACACTTAAAGAGATTGTTGGCCTATTCCTCCGTCGCGCAGATAGGCTACATTCTGCTGGGTGCTAGTTTTGGCGACGTCCAAGGTCTGACCGCAGCATTTACTCACATGTTTAACCACGCGCTGGCCAAAGGCGGCTTGTTTCTGGTGCTGGCTGCTTTTGCACTTCAAACCAGTGGGCTGCGAATGACGGATATTGCTGGGCTTGCCCGTCGCATGCCACTGACTTCAGCGGCCTTGTTGATTCTAGGCGCTAGTCTCGTTGGCATTCCAGGCACTGCTGGTTTTGTCTCGAAATGGCTATTGCTGTCCGCAGCGTTCCAACAGGGTCCGCTGGGTATTGCCGCGGTTGCGGTTGTTGTGCTGAGTTCACTGGCCGGTGTGGTCTACGTGTGGAAAATTGTTGAGCAGCTTTATTTTGGTGAGCCCCCGGAGACTTCTGCTGCGACAGCGTCCAATGCCGGAGCAATCCCGTTCAAGTCCGAAGCGCCTGCAATGCTGCTGTTGGGAATCTGGGTGGTTGCTCTGGCGAATATTTATTTTGGTCTGTTTCCCGGATTCACGGTCAGCTTGTCTGAAAGTGCCGCAATGGGCCTGGTGAGTCATCTGCCATGAGTAGTGCAACCACCATTGTCCTGTCTCTGTTGCTGCCGTTGGCAGGCGCCATTCTGATCAGTATGACCGGGCGCTGGCCGAACCTTCGTGAAACCATCACGCTAGTGACCGCCGTTTCCGTTGCCCTGGTGGTAGCCTCGCTGGTGCCTGAGGTGATGGACGGTGGTCGTCCTGCCCTGATGGTCGCCGAGTTGTTTGATGGTTTACAGATAGCCTTCACCGTAGAGCCGCTCGGCATGTTGTTTGGCGCCCTTGCCGCAACCCTCTGGATTGTTAATTCGATCTATTCCATTGGTTATATGCGCGGCAACAACGAGAAAAAGCAGACCCGTTTTTATGTCTGTTTTGCCATCGCGATTGCCGCTGCCCTGGGTGTTGCGTTTGCCGGCAATCTGCTGACCCTGTTTCTGTGTTATGAAATTCTGACGCTGTCGACTTATCCACTTGTCTCGCACAAGGGTGATAAGGCGACGGTTGCCTCAGCCAGGGTTTATCTCGGCATTCTGCTGGGCACCTCTATCGGTTTATTGCTGCCTGCAATCATCTGGACCTATCTGGTTGCAGGCACCTTGACCTTCGCTCCGGAAGGTATCCTTGCGGGCCACATCAGTGGTCCTGCTGTGGGTCTGCTGCTGGCGCTGTTTGTTTTTGGCGTGGGTAAAGCCGCCGTCATGCCCGTGCATAAGTGGTTACCCGCAGCAATGGTTGCGCCAACCCCGGTGAGTGCTTTGTTGCACGCAGTGGCGGTTGTGAAGGCGGGTGTATTCACCATCACCAAGGTGATCATTTATGTCTTTGGGGTTGATAATCTGTTTTCAGAGCCTTCAAGTGGCTGGCTGATGTACGCTGCGGCGTTCACCATTCTTGCCGCCAGTGTGGTGGCGCTGCGTCAGACAAATCTGAAACGTATGCTGGCTTACTCCACGATCGGTCAGTTGTCTTATGTGATTATGGCGGCGGCGCTGTTGAAGCCGCTGTCAGAGATTGGTGCAGCGGTGCATATTGTCGCGCACGCGTTTGGCAAGATCACACTGTTCTTTGCCGCCGGCGCTATCTACACCGCAGCGAAGAAGACAGAGCTCAGCCAGCTCAGCGGGATCGGTGCACGCATGCCCTGGACCATGGCAGCCTTTACCATTGGCGCTTTGTCGATGATTGGCGTGCCGCCCACAGGTGGGTTTGTTTCTAAATGGTTCATCCTTGCTGGTGCGTTCGAAAGTGATAACTACGTGGCCATATTTACCATCATCGCCAGTACGGCATTAAACGCTGCGTACTTTTTGCCCATTATTTTTGCCGCCTGGTTCGGGCGTGAGGCAGAAGGTGGTAAAGACCACGGCGAAGCGCCCTGGCCCATGGTACTGGCGTTGTCTTTGACCGCTCTGGCGACGTTGGGCTTTTTCTTCTTTAATCAGCCGGTTCTGGATCTTGAAAGCCAGCTAGTGAGCCAAATGTAATGAATGACGCCGAAAAACAAAGCGCCCAAGCGCAGCAGGATGACCACTGGCTGGTGCGGCCGGCGACCATCCGCAAACTCTGGATTGTCTTCAGCATCGTGCTGGCGCTGACAGTTATCAGCCAGTTTTTCATCAAAATTAAAGGCTATTTCGGCATCGATGGCTGGTTTGGCTTTGGCGCTGTTTATGGACTCCTGGCCTGTGTTTTGATGGTGGTGGTCGCCAAGGTTTTAGGCGCTGTTCTGAAGCGCCGGGAAGACTATTACGATGATTGATATGGTCATTCCACCTGCATTTGTGCTGCTCGCTGGTGCACTGTTGATCGGCATCACCCGGGGTTGGCTGCGTACGGCGGTATTGCTGTTGGCGCCGCTGGCGACGCTCTGGGCGGTATGGCAGGTGCCGGACGGTGTAGCAGTGACTTCCTATTTCCTGGGTTATGACATTGAACCCGTCGAAGGCAGCGCCCTGCGTCGCCTGTTTGCCACCATTTTTTCCGTCATGGCTTTTGTTGGTGGCCTGTTTGCCTTCCGTCAGGCGCGTTGGTACGAACTGGCTGCTGCTTATGCGTACGCGGCGGGTGCAGTGGGCGTATGTTTTGCCGGAGATCTGATCACGCTGTTCCTGTACTGGGAACTGATGGCGATATTCTCCACTGTTGTGGTTTGGGTGGGGGGCACGCCCCAGGCCAGAGCGGCGGGCATTCGCTACGCCATTATGCACTTGTTAGGTGGTGTTATTCTCAAGGTGGGCATCGAAGGTATTGTGGTGCATACCGGTTCTGTCGATATCCAACCCATGCTGGCGACCAATTTTGATACCTGGATGGTGCTCATTGGTATTTTGATCAATGTGGCCGCGCCGCCGGTTTCAGCCTGGCTGGCAGATGCTTATCCTGCCTCGAGCCCAACAGGCTCAGTTTTCCTTTCCGCGTTTACCACCAAATCCGCGGTGCTTGCACTGATCCTCCTGTTTCCGGGTGAATCCGTACTGATCTGGATTGGTCTGTATATGGTGTTTTACGGCATCATCTATGCGCTGCTGGAGAACGATGCGCGACGAATCCTGGCCTATTCAGTGGTCAACCAGGTTGGGTTTATGGTGGTCGCTGTGGGCATTGGCACCGAAATGGCACTGAATGGTGCAGCCGCCCATGCGTTTGCACACATCATTTATAAGGCGCTGTTGTTCATGTCTGCCGGCGTGGTGTTATACCGCACCGGCTTTTCCCGTTGTACCGATCTTGGTGGCCTGTTTCGTACCATGCCGTTTACCACCCTGTGCGGCATTATCGGCGCTTTAGCCATCTCCAGCTTTCCGCTGACTTCAGGTTTTACCACCAAAACGTTGATTTCCGTAGCTGCTGAACAGCAGGGTCTGGTGGTGGTCTATATGCTGCTTGCCGCTGCCTCAGCAGGTGTATTTCTTCATGCGGGAATCAAATTCCCGTGGTTTGTCTTTTTTCAGAAAGATTCCGGTCTGCGACCGAAAGATGCGCCCTGGAACATGGCTCTGGCGATGGGCATATTTGCCTTCCTGTGTATTTTTCTGGGTGTTTATCCTGAGCCGTTGTGGGCGCTATTGCCTTATCCCATGGAATACGAAGCTTATACGCCGGGTAAGGTACTGTTTTATCTGCAGCTGCTGCTGTTCTCCGGCCTGGCTTTTTTCCTGCTGTTACCCTGGATGCAACGCACCCTCACCATCTCCCTGGATACAGACTGGTTATGGCGTGTATTGGGGCGGCGTATCGCGCTTGCTGTGATAGCCGCGGTGGCTGCGACAGGTGCTGGGCTAGGTCGGTTGCTGGAGAGCATACGCGGGCAGATTGCGCCACCGTTGCTGCGTCTGCTAGACAACAGAGGCGCTCTTGGACGCACCTGGCAGGTCGGTACAACCGCACTTTGGATTGTGGTGCTGCTGACAACCTACGTGTTGCTGTATTACCTGTAAGGTGCTTTTAGTGGATGTGGCTACAAGCATTTGACACGGGCCACAACTGCTATAGAATTCGCGTCCCTGGAATATGTTGAACCAACTCAACAGACTTTTGCCAGGTAGTTTTTAAAGCGGGTGTAGCTCAGTTGGTAGAGCGCGACCTTGCCAAGGTCGAGGTCACGAGTTCGAGCCTCGTTACCCGCTCCAATTAAAAAAGCCCGGTTTGTTAGCCGGGCTTTTTTGTGTCTGGATGAAAACAGGGCACAATAGCAGCCATGCAAAGATCCATAGCAGATTGGGGCGGCAACATTGCTGCTTTTATCGTCGTCCTGGTTGCCAATACCCTCGCTAACGCGGTGCCCCTGGGTGGCCAGACGACCGGCGAGATATCCGACAAATACCCCTCATTGTTCACGCCAGCGGGTTATGTCTTCTCCATCTGGGGTCTGATTTACCTGACGTTGTTGTTTTTTATTGTCTGGCAGGCGTTGCCTGCACAGCGTGACAGCGTGTTGTTGAAAACACTGCGGGTTCCGTTCCAGGTCAGCTGTCTGTGCAACGCTGGGTGGATTTTTGCCTGGCATTACGATCAGCTGTTTCTGTCCTTTGCAATCATGCTGGGGCTGCTGTGGATGCTGGTCACCGTCTATACACGGCTCAATCTTGATCGCGCCGCTCATAACCTGGGTGAGCGCGTTTTCTTATATCTGCCGTTCAGCTTGTACACCGCCTGGATCAGCGTTGCGGTCATCGCCAATGCCAGTGCGATACAGATTACCTATGGTTGGAACGAGACAGTTTTCAGCCCGGTTGTCTGGACCGTGTTGAAGCTGGCGGCTGCCGGTACGGTGGCCGTTGGCGTCCTGTTTCGTTTCCGTGATCCCGCATGGATGTTGGTGCTGGCCTGGGCGAGTTTCGGGATCGCGTTCAGACATGCCGAAACCTCTGTGGTTTACGGCGCAGCTTTGTTGCTGGGTCTGCTGGGGCTGGGGTTAGTCATACTGCAATTATGGTGGTCTTTCAGGCACCCCCAGGCAGTTTAGGCTGATCTTGTCAGACGCAGATACACCCACACCCGACCCACATAAAGATAAGTGGGATGCGCGGTATCGCTCAGCCTCGCTGAACTGGTCTGCCCAACCTAATGTGCTGTTTGCTGAAATTGTCAAAGATCTACCGCCAGGTAGGGCTCTGGATGTGGCCTGTGGCGAAGGTCGGCACGCTTTGTGGCTGGCGGAGCAGGGCTGGCAGGTCACCGCTGTAGATTTTTCTGCTGTAGGACTGGCCAAGGCCCGGCAAATTGCTGAACAGCGTGGGCAGAATGTGCGCTGGCTGCAACACGATGTCACCCAGCGGATGGATGATCTCGGATTGTTTGACCTGGTGGCGGTGGTTTTTCTGCATACAGACCCATCCAGTCGGAACATATGGTTTGCCCATGTCAGAAACTGTGTCGCCCCCGGTGGGATGCTGGTTTACATCGGGCACGATCCGCGCAATATTGATAGTGGTAGCGGTGGGCCTGATCGGCCGGAAGTTCTGCCCGATGCTAGTGAGGTGTCGGCTTTACTACCGGGTTTTGAAATACTTAGAGCTGAGACTGTCGAGCGGTCAGTGGTTAGTGAGCCAGGTCATCACCATGACACTCAAGGCAAGGCATTTGATACGGTGGTCGTAGCGCAACGTCTCGATGGCTAACAAGGCGAAGTTCAGGAGAGAACGATGACAACCTACAGGAATGAGCTGAATTTGGCGTATACCGCTTCGTCTGCTGAGTCGTTGCAACCCTTTGAGGCTGCGCTGACGTCTTATCTTGGTGCGCGTCCAGACGTGATGGCAATCCTCGATGGTTTGCAAAGTGCAGATCCTGATATGTTCATGGCCCGGGTGTTTCGCGGTTATTTACTGAAACTCGCCGGGCATCCGCAGTTCAGCGGCGCGCTCACAGACCTGGTGAAACAACTCGAAGACCAAGTTCGTGCCCAGGCGCTGACCTCGCGGGAACAGACGCACCTGCAGGTCCTGAAGTTCTGGATCGAAGATCAAAGCGCAGCAGCGTTGTCTCTGCTTGAACAACTGCTGTTGGAACATCCGCTGGATATGCTGGCGCTGCGCATAGCGCACTATCTGCATTTTTATGACGGTAGCGGCGCAGCCATGAGTGCATCCACCGGGCGTGTGTTGGGTGCATGGCCGCAGAATCATCCGCATTATCCCTTTTTGCAGGGTATGCATGCCTTTGGTCTGGAGGAGTCGGGTGACTATGAACAGGCGTTGGCGCTAGGCCAGGATGCGGTGCAGGCCAACAGTCAGGATATCTGGGCGACACATGCCGTGGCTCATGTGTATGAAATGCTGGGAGAGCATGAGCAGGGTTTCAACTGGTTGACACAAACTGAACCGGGTTGGAAAGACACGAATAATTTTCGTTACCACGTTATCTGGCACCAGGCGCTTTTCTGCCTTGGGCTTGGTGAACACGACCAGGCACTTTCTATTTACGATAACCAGCTGGCAGACAGTGTCGCAGATGATTTTTACCTGGATATCTGCAACAACGCTGCACTGCTGTGGCGACTGGAATTCCTGGGTGTGGACGTAGGGGAACGCTGGCAGCCGCTGGTAGATACCTGTGCCCGTCACTGCAACGACCGCGAATTGCTGTTTGCTAATCTGCATTATCTGATTCCGCTGGCGGTCACCTGCGCACCAGCGCTTGAACCCGCGCTTGAAAACCTGTCCGACTGGGCACAAGGCTCTACGGACCAGGCCGTATTATGTCGTGAGGTAGGGGTTGCGTTGGCTCAGGCAGTGGCACAGGCACCGCAACAGCCGGATGCTGCGTTGGAACCGCTGCTGGCGGTTAAAGATGAAACTTATCGCATCGGTGGCAGTAAAGCACAGCGCGATTTGTTCCGTCTGTTGGGTCGTCACGCTGCTGTACAGGCTGGCCGCGGGGAACTTCTGGCCCAGTTAAGCTGAAGCTGGTCAGCTACCTGGCACACTGCTACATTGTCGTCGTTGGATCTGGGTAAACCCTCGTATGTTAAATTTCCCTCAGCCGCCGAAAAGCTACAGTCATGTCTTCTTAGAAGACACGGACCGTCCTTTGGCGGAGAAAATCAATCCGAATCTGCGTTATGCAATGTTTTCAACCATTGCCACTGGCGGCAAGTCGCTGATCAAATCCTGCAAAGACTTACATCTGTCCAGAGTGGTCTGTTACAAAACCCTGCGTCCCGAATTTGCCAAGGATGAAATAGAACAGCGCAGACTGCTGCGAGAGGCACGGGTTTCTGCAATGTTGCAGCATCCGAATACGGTGCCTACCTACGAGCTGGGACGCGATCGCGCCGGTAACTATTACTTCACCATGAAACTGGTACACGGATACACACTCCGGGAGATTCTGGATTTTCGCGAACGATACGACTTAACTCAATTGGTGGATGTCATCGTGCAGATCTGCCATGCGTTGGAATATGCGCATACCCATGGTGTTGTGCACCGAGACATCAAGCCTGAGAACATACTGGTTGGCCCCTATGGTGAGGTGCTGTTGCTGGATTGGGGTCTGGCCAAAGTCTGGAATGCTGACGGATCCACCAACACAGAAGCTACGCAGATTGATCTAGACCCTGCAGCTAACCCCTCGTTAACGTCCAGAGGTGCGTTACAGGGCACAGCGTCTTACATGTCGCCGGAGCAGATTCAGAGAGACCCGAATATTGATGCGCGTACAGATGTGTACAGCATCGGCGCGGTGCTTTACGAAATTCTTTGCGGTTCGACAACCTCCGGTCTTGATCAGGTTGACAAGATCGTCAACGCTACACTTTATGACGAACCACCCAAACCCTCAACGGTGAGTGACATACATGTGCCTTCGCTGTTGGAGTATGCCTGTATGCAGTGCCTGCAGAAGAACCCTGATAACCGTCTGGCCTCCATTGCCGAATTGCTGCGGTTATTGCAGGAAGACTGGCAAACCGACCTGGTGCCTACTGAATAAACAGGAGTAGTTCTTGAAAACCTGGCAGATCCTGATTGTGATTCTGGTGCTCATCCTGATGGCGGGTGGCGGTTACCTTTACACCCAGATTCGTGCGCTGGAGGTTGAGCAACTCAGTGATGACCTCTGGGTGTTGCGTGGTTTTGGCGGCAACACGGCGGTGCTTAAAACCCGGGCAGGTACGGTGGTTGTGGATACCATGACCTTTGGCATTCAAGGCGATCATATCCGTGAAACAGCTCGTGAGCTGACAGGTATGCCAACGGTGATGGTTATCAACACGCATTACCACCTCGATCATACCCACGGGAATCCTGCATTCGAGCCAGGCACCCGGGTCCTGTCTACCGAACGCACGCTGAAGTATTTACTCACGGTGGATGCAGATTTCTGGCAGGGTGGGGCTGCTGAACTGATGCCCAACGAGACATTTTCAGATCGGCAGACATTGTTTGTTGGCGATAAAAAAATTGATCTGGTCCACCCTGGTCCAGGGCATACCGATGGTGACCTGGTGGTGATCTTTGTGGATGAAGGTGTGGCTCATCTGGGTGATCTTTTCTTTAATGGGCACTATCCGAATATTGACCTCGAGGCTGGGGGTACCGTGCAGAGTTGGCCGGAGACTCTGGATAAGGTGCTGGCGTTGAACTTTGACCGGGCTATTCCCGGCCATGGTGCAACTACGGACCGAAATGGCATTCGCGATTTTCAGCGCTTTCTGCAGCAGTTGGGTGATATTGGTAAACAGGCGGCTGCTGAAAACTGGACGTTGGATCAGGTCAGGTCAACCCAGGCACTTACCGAGGATGCCGGTTATGAGCCCATTGAGTTTATTGTCTCCCTGGGTCTCGACCGCGGCTTTGTGCTGCAACGGGCCTGGGAAGAGACCACCGGGCAATTTGTCAGGCACCTCAATACTGCAGGTGCCCCTTAATCTACAGTTAGAAATGTTGCTTATTCGGCAGGTCCATCGCTATCTGCAGCAGCTTCGTTCATAGCATCCGCTTCGAGCACCCGTGCACCGCGCAAGATGCCGCCAAGGGCATAGTTGCCTTCATGGCAGGCGTACTCATAAACCTTATCTTCGGTGGCCGGCCAGGGATACTCGCCGCCCCAGGGCTCCACCCAGTTAGGATCATCGACGGTGAACGCGTAACGCAGTGTGTTCTCATCGATGCGGCTGAATCGTTCAGTGACGTGTAACGCCTGTGAGGCCATGAACAGACCGGGTTCCTCGCGGAAGTTTTTCGTTTCAACAACCAGCGTGTCGCCATCCCAGTAGCCAATGGAATCACCCAGCCAGCTGCGTGAGGAGTCGGGCAGGTGATCTGCGTCTATGCGCACTACGCGGGCATCGTGGTTCATTTCGTTAAAAATGATGACGTGGTCGTCTGTCTGCACGATGCGTTTTAAGTTGTTGTACATCACCGGGAGTGCCGGCGGTCCTGAGGTTGAGCCAAAACCAAGGATACAACGCTCGGCCAGTGGACGATTCTCGGGATTGTCGTATGGTCCCACACCTTTTTCTATCCACCAGGCAGTGCCGGTGTTTTCATGAAAGTTGGCCCGCTGTGCCATGGCTTTCTGCATGCCCTGAGGAGACAGCTTCGGCAGACGACCGTTGGCAGGCTGATTGATGATGGACGTTCGATACAGGCCATCCAGGAGGAATTTACTGTCGCCGATATCTACATAAAATGCGTTGTATCCACCGACGCCGCCTGCAGCACCGGAAAACTCCGGTATGTAAATTTCTGTGCCGCCTTCCGGGGGTGCTTCCCGGTCAGGGTCGCTTTTCTCATCGTCTTTGGCCAGATTGTCAGCCCAGTACTTTGCTGTCGCTTTTGCTTCTTCTTCGGTGACAAAGGCGCGGTCTCCGAATTCTTCGGGGCGTTGCAGCGGGGTGAGCGTTGCGATGTTGTAAGTACCTGATAAATCTGGTTTTTTAGCGGTTTCTTCCGCGTTCTGGGCGACTTGTGCGCATCCGCTAAGCGCAGCGATGCCTGCGACGAACACCAAGTGAGCAGTGAATTTCTGCATGTTTCTCCATTCTCCCTGTAAATCTCCTAAAGCATATCATCGAACAGGCTCGGAATATTTGCAATTTGAACTAGGCTTAGCGAGGTAAGTGTTTAAAAAGACTGGGAATTTTTACATTCATGTATCCGAGTGGTCTGCATCCCATCAGGTTGTGGTTGGTAGCTGTATGCCTTCTGGCAGGGCCACACCTGTACGCTGATCTGGTGGCGGAGTACCGCCTTGATGCGCAACAGTGGAATGGTACGCCGGGCGAGGTGATTGACAGCTCTGGAAACGGCTTCGCCGGACGCGCGCGTAACACCAGTCCGGTTACCGGTTTGCTGTGTAATGCCGCCGACCTGAGCGATGGTGGCACCGCAGATTATCTGGATCTGGATCATCGTGCGCTGGACGGTTTGCGTGATTTCACCCTCATGCTCTGGTACCGCTCCACAAATAGCGACCGTTCGCTGTTGCTGAGCGCCGCGAATGCCCGTGAAGAAAAAGAACTGTACTGGATGACCCGGCGCGGGGATCGTTTCGAACCGCAACTTTTTGATGACAGTGATGGCCGTATAGACATAGAGGATATTGATGATGGCGCCTGGCATCACCTGGCCTGGACGCGTATAGGTTCACGCAACTGTTTTTATGTTGACGGGCAGCAGCAGGACTGCAACCAGTTGCCACAAGGGGCGCTGAATGTCGACTTTACTGGATTCATCGTCGGTCAGGAGCAGGATGATATTGGCTACGACTTCCGTAACAACAGGGGTGTCGAGGGTCTTGTCGATGAACTCTATGTGTTCGACGAAGGTCTTTCTGGTGAGGCGATCGAAAGTATTCGTGCGAATAACGTAGCGGGCAACAGCTGGAATGGTGCGCCTCGTCGCTGTGCCCGGGTTGAGCCGAGAGCGGCCTACTTTTTTGATGAACCGAGCTGGTCCGGTGTCGCAGATGAAGTGCGCGACAGCAGTGGCAACGGTTACGATGGTATCGCCATCAACAGCACAACGACGCAGGGCCTGCTTTGCCGAGCGGCTGACTTGTCTGCAACAGATACGTCGGACTATCTGAGTCTGGATTTTCAAGCGCTTAACGGCGTGCGCGATTTCTCGATAGGTTTCTGGGCGCGTACCTCAAATTCAGCCAACAAAGCGTTTGTTTCCGGTGCACGTTCCGGTCAGGCAAATGAGCTGATTTTCTGGTTTAGCAGCGCGACCCGTTTTCGCCCGCATATAGAAAATAATAATCGAGACGTTGTGGTACCAAACGTCTGGGATAATACCTGGCACCACTGGATGTGGGTGCGCAATGGGGCGTCAAACTGCATCTATCTGGACGGCACCCTACGTGGCTGCGTCAACTTGATCACAAACTCTATCGATCTGGATCCGCGAGGTCTGGTGATTGGCCAGGAGCAGGATTCTGTAGGCGGCAGGTTTGTTGCTTCCCAGAGTGTGCGCGGGGAAATGGATGAGCTGCTGATCTTTGACCAAGCGCTCACCGCGTCCCAAGTTGCTGACATAGTGGTTAACAATCGCGACGGTTTGAGTTGGGATGGCAGTGTGCGTTCATGTCCCACGGTGGGTGCCAATATACTTCAGGTTGTCCATGACGGAAACGGTATTTACTGTAGTAGCGAGCGGATTGGGGTGCGTGCCATCAACGCCTCTGGCGACGTCGTTAGTGGGTATGCGACCACAGTCACGCTGGATACAGGTAGCGGCAGAGGCAACTGGGCGTTGGCTACCGGGGCCGGTACCTTAGTGGACGCAGTCGCTGATGATGGTCTTGCCACCTACAGCTTCAGCCCTGCTGATAGTGGCGAAGCCTGGTTCGCGTTGAGCTATCCCGACGGCCCTGCGGTGCTCGATATTGACGTTTTCGAATCTGCGGATCCCAACGTCCGTGATACAGATGCCGAAGGCACACTGATCTTCTCTCCCACGGGTTTCACCGTCACCGCAAACCCGCTGTCTAACCCACCGGTCAGTCCGGTGTCTGATCCTCTGTTAAGACAAACCGCAGGCACCGACTTTGATATTCATCTAACGGCTTTTGGCACCACTGAAGATGATCCTGTATGTGGCGTGATCGAAGACTATGAAGGTGTGCAGGCTGTGCAGATCTGGCAGGATCTGGTGGATCCGCTTGCAGGATCCGTTCGGGCGCTTGTTAATGCCAGCCCTGTGGGAGTAAATGCAGCTTCACCTGTGGTGCAGAATATTCTGTTCAGCGCAGGTCAGGCGGTTGTGTCAGCGAAGTACAAAGATGTCGGGCGGCTGCGCCTGAATTTTCAAGCCGGCAGTCTGACTGGGGCAACGGATAGTTTTGTCAGCCCACCTGCGGATCTTTCCATCAGGCGGATTGAATCATCTGCTGGTATCCCCAATCCCAGAGCTGACAGTCTTGCTGGTGCAGGGTTTGTCGCTGCAGGTGAGCCTTTCCGGATAACTGTGGCCGCACTGGACGCTGAATCTGATCCAACACCTAACTATGGTAATGAGCTGGCCAGCGAGGGTATTCGGGTGTCCGCGGTTGACTTGTTGCTGCCCGCCGGGGGGCGTCTTGGTCCTGCAGACGACGGTGTGCTGAACAATGGTGACAGTTTTTCCCCAGCGGCTCCGCTGGGTTACTTCCTCAACAGTGATATTGCCTTTGACGAGGTAGGCAGTATCACGCTGCAGGCCGAGGTTGGCGATGGCAGCTATATGGACACTGGCAACGTTGTGGGCGGGCTCGCAGGTCCAGTGGGACGCTTCTATCCGCATCATTTTGAGCTGCTTAACGCAACAGTGGATACCCAGTGTTCAGGGTTTGCTTATATGTCAGCGCCGTCCGTTTCACTCACCGCTGAGATCTATGCGCGAAATCAAAGTGGGTTCACAGTTGAAAATTATGATGCGGTGCTGTTCAGTAATGGGCTTGCACCGGTAGGTTTTGTCGCTGAGTTTCAGGATAACGGTATTGACCTGGGATCCCGTTTAACCATTGCTACTGCGCAATGGCAGTCTGGTAGATATAATGTGTTAGACACTGGCGCTGCCTTTGAGCGTCTGGGTGTCGCTGACGGCCCGTATGAGCTGATGGCAGTAGGTGTTTCAGTTAACGACACGACTGACACGCGCCAGCTTATGGGGTTGGACATGAATGCTCAGGCTTCAGGCTTTTGTGCGCTGGGTGCTACCTGTAATGCGCAACGCATTGGCACCCTCAGTGCATATTTTGGGCGTATGGTGATTTTACCCAGCCAGGGCCCGGAAGATCAGGATCTGGATATCCGGCTGCAGACACAGGCTTTTCAAAATGGTGCGTTTACCGCGTTTGAGCAGGACAGTTGTACAACTTATCAGGCTTCACAATTGTCTTTGAGTAACTTCAGTGGCGACCTGCAGGTGGGTGAAACAGCTGTGTTGGGGCCGCTTGGCGCAACGCCTCTGGTAGATGGGCAGGTTGATCCCAGCAATCCTCTGTGGCTGTCCGCACCGGGCAGCGGTAACACGGGCGCCGTCGACGTTGAGTTACAGACACCAGCCTGGTTGCGTTATAACTGGTTGGGAGCCGGTGAGGTGAATCCCCGCGCGCAGCTCACGTTTGGAAGATATCGCGGTCATGATCGCATCATTATCTGGCAGCAGGATCCCTGAAGGGTTGCACTGCTTTCCTAGATACAGCGCCCGCCATCAATTTCCAGAGCCACACCTGTAATCAAACTGGCGCTATCACTGCATAAAAACACCGCTGCAGCGCCCAGATCCGTTGGTGTGGAGAAACGTCCTAAGGGGATGCTCTGCAAGAACGTGGCGCGTTGCTCTGGCGTGTCCTCACCCATGAATGTTGCCAGCAGTGGCGTTTCTCCAGCAACCGGGTTAAGTGCGTTGACGCGGATGTTAAGCGCGGCAAGTTCAATGGCCATTGATTTGGTGGCGGTGATGACCCAGCCTTTAGATGCGTTGTACCAGGTGAGGTTGGGCCTCGGGCTCACTCCAGCGGTGGAGGCGATGTTCAGAATGACCCCCTGCTGACGTTTCTTAAACGCGGGTACAATCACCTTGCCACATACAAAAATGGATCGCATGTTGACGTCACACAGGCGTTGAAAGTCTTCTGCGCTCACGTCTTCCATTGCAGTAGGTGGCAGGCCGATGCCGGCGTTGTTAACCACAATATCTACGTCACCCGCACGACGCTGTAACAGATCTATCGCGCTACGCATGGATGCTTCGTTGGTGACGTCACCTTCCAGGGCAATGGCGCGGCTGCCCAGGCGGGTTGCAACCTCTGATGCCGCGGTAAGGTTCAGGTCAAGCAGTCCTACCGTTGCACCAGCAGCAATGAAACTTTCAGCAATGCCCGTTCCAAAGCCTGAGCCTGCGCCAGTGACAATCGCGACCTTGTCTTGCAAAGCGCTCACGCCTGTGAACCGTGAAGCAGGTTGTGCAGGGCGATGGCCATGACTTTGGCTGAGTCGATCATATCCTGCACCTCAACATATTCGTCGGGTTGATGTGCAAGGGTCAGGATGCCCGGGCCGTAAGCAATGCAGTCGCTCAGTTTGCCAATACGATCTATATGTTTCTGATCGTATGTGCCCGGCGATACCACCATCGTGGCAGGCTTGTGCAGTACCTGTTCAATGGCCTGGCTGACGGCCTGAACCACAGGGGCATGCTCGTCTGTCATGGTGGGAATCACCTCGAACAGATCTCTGATGGTGTAGTCAAACCGGTCGCGGTCTGCGCGCAATCCGTCCAACAGGCTGACAACCTCCTGTTTCACCGTGGCCAGTTGTTCTTCGATAAGAAAGCGTCGATCAATAATCATGCGGCAGGAGTCTGCCACCAGAGGTGTGGGTAGACCCTCAAACGCTTCTGATTCACCGCCATGCATTGAGTTGATGTTCAGCGTCGATTGTTTTGCGCCATCCGGGACAACCGGCATGTTGGTGCGTTTGGTCGCCAGGTGAGGAAAAAGTTCGGATTCAAAGCGGGCAAGTACGGCAGCCATATGGCGCACGGCACAGTCGCCATCAAAGGGCATGCTGCCATGGGCAATGTGGCCCTTGGTTTCAATTTCCGCCCACCAGACACCACGATGACCTAAACATACGCGGTCTTTGTCCAGCGGCTCAGGGATGATCACATGGTCAATACGTGGCTTTGCCATGATGCCCAGTTCAGCCAGGTAGGCGACGCCGCCATAGCCACCGCTTTCTTCGTCTGCGGTGCCGGATATCTCGATGGCACCAGGATGGTCAGGATACATCTCGAGGTAAGTTTCAACGGCGATAACCGAGGCGGCAAGACCACCTTTCATGTCACATGCGCCGCGCCCGTAGATCCGGTCACCCAGCAACGTCGCGGCGAATGGATCCTGTTGCCAGCCTTTACCGACTGCAACAACGTCAATGTGGGAGTTGAAATGCACACAGGGACCGCTGCCGCCATGGTGCCGGGCGACAACGTTCATGCGCGGATACTGATCCGTGTCCCCAGGGCTACCTTCGGCGCGAAAGTACTCAACCGTAAAAGCACGCTGGGCCATACGCTCACCGACAAAGTGCGCGCAGTCATCATAGAATTCACCGGGTGGATTGATTGTGGGGATACGTATCAGATCCTGTGTGAGGGCAATCAGCTCATCTTTTTTTGCGTCTATGCGGCGGCTCAAGCCGTCTATATCGATTGTGCTGTTCACGCGGTGTCCTTGATTATTATTTCTGTTCGGACATTTGTACTGCTTCAAAGACGCCGCGCGCAATGGCTCTGGCCATGGTGTTACCAGCGAGCACACCCAGGTCAAGCAGCGCTTCTTCATCTGCATCATACTGTCCGGTTGAGGCGACAAAAATCAGGTCGCCGTCGGCGGGTGTGTGTACCGGGTATAACGCGCGGGCAAAACCATCATGTGCTGATGTGGCGATGCGTTTGGCCTGAGCAGCGGTCAGTTTCACGTCTGTCACAATAATGCCCAGGGTTGTGTTGGCGCCTGCGACACGCTGTCCTGATTTGGTGCGGCCTTGTCTGGCATCGTCTGGCCAAGGGTGTGGGTAGCCGTAGCCGCCAAACTCAGCATCTTCTTCAAAAGGTGCTGCCCAGAAATGATGGGTATCGCCAACCAGGGCTGAACCGGCTGCATTGACAGCGGCAGCGGCTAACAGAGTGCCGCCACTTCGAAGCTTTGTTTCTGCCATGCCAAAACCGCCCGGTGCGTTAGCCGTTCTGGCGCCCAGCGCTGCACCGACAGCACCTAACTTAGGCTGTTGGGTCATCGTTTCCATGGCTGCGTAACCCAGATCTCGATAGGGGGAAAAGCGCCCCCAGTCCTTGTCGCCTTCATTGCGCATATCAAACAGAATCGCACAGGGGACAATGGGGATACGCACCGGGTCCAGTGGAATGCCGCGGTTGTGTTTCCGTAGCCAGGCCTGAACACCGCCGGCGGCATCCAGCCCGTAAGCAGATCCGCCAGACAAAACCAGCGCGTCGATATGGTCGACGGTAAACTCCGGGTTCAGCAGTTCAGTATCGCGAGTGCCAGGTGCAGCACCCATAATGTGAACGGCGGCGACTGCTGGGCGATCAAAGAAACAAACTGTGGTGCCGGTTAGAACCTTGTTGTCTTGCGCATGACCAAAGTGCACGCCAGGGATAGAAATACTGAACTCTGCCGGCATCTTAAGTTTACCCGTTTCTACTAGCTAGCGTCATCGTTGAGCAGACGTACTTCAGATTGCGGGAATGGGATGCTGATGCCGTGCTCTGCGAAGGCTTTGAAGATGGCCAGATTAACCGTATGGATGGTTTTGAAATAACCACCGGTTGGCGTCCAGTAGCGGTATTCGATATCGACACTGGAATCTCCAAAGTTGCAGATGCCTACTTCCGGCGGTGAGTCCTGGATAACGCCGGTTTCGTTGTTCAGGACCTGGGTAATCGCTTGAATCGCCAGCTCCGGGTCGGCGCTGTAGGCGATACCAACACAACCTTCGACAATTCGATTGGCTTCAGAGTTGGTATGTACCTCGCCGACAATATGTTTGTTGGGAATAATAATCAGCTCGCCATCTTCCGCTCGCAGCGCGGTCGCCGCGAGGCTGATGTCTTCAACAAGCCCTGAACAACCCTGGGTGGTGATGGTGTCGCCGACGCGATACATGCGTGTGAGAATGATCATCAGGCCTGCGCCATAGTTGGACACCGGTCCTTGCAGCGCCAGGCTCAAACCTACTGCCAGGCCACCAATCGCGGCAATCAATGGTGTGATAGAGATGTCCAGCTGACCCAAAGCCACAACCATGAACATGATCAGAATCAGCAACCGTACGGTAGAGGCCATAAACTGGCGCAGGGTCACGTCTACATCACGCTTTTCTAAAATGCCGGTTAACAGGCGGGCAACCCAGCGGGCGACAATGAAACCGGCGAGTACCACCAGAGCAGCACCAAGGAGTTTGAATGACCAGGTGATGGCCTGTTCAGTAAGGAACTGATAGGCGGTGTTAACCAGATCCAACGGGATTGTGAGCTGTTCTTCCATGAGCGGTGTATCTAGAGCAAACAGCCAACATCATATGCCGGGTAAAGCCCGGGCTCAAATCAAACGCGCTTCAGGTTGCCGCCAGCTGCAGAATCTTTTTGTCGTTGCCGCTGAGGTACCACAGACGTAGACCCACACTGATGGCCACCAGCGACAGACCAAGAGTCAGCGCGGTCCAGTAGCCGTACACGCCCGGCGCCAACCCAGGCAACAGCAGCTCCTGTGACAGGAACCAACCCAGCGGAACGGCAATAAACCAGTAGCCAACCAGGCTGATATACATGGGTACTTCTGTATCTTTATAGCCACGTAACGCGCCAATGGTCACCGCCTGGCTGTCGTCAACAATCTGGTACACGGCAATAAACAGCAGCAGCGTGACGGCAATCTGGATCACCGCGGGATCGGCGGTATAGATGCTGACCAGGTGATAACGCATCAACACCAGCATTACGCTGACAATCAGCGCATAGCCGATAGAGAATTTATACACCGTCACCGCGGTCAGGCGGGCAGCTACCAGGTCGTTGGCGCCAACATGAAAACCCACGCGGATGCTGGCAGCAGCACCGAGGCTCATCGGAATAACATAGGTCAACCAGTTGATGTTGCCGGCAATGGCATTTGCGGCGACCTGCTCAACACCCAAACGCGCGATTAGAAAAGCGATCACTGAAAAAACGGCCATTTCCAGGAAAATGACCAGACCAATGGGTGTACCAATTTTAAAGATCGAAGTGATGGGGGCGGCTTCCGGCCACTCAAATCGTTCAAACAAACCGGTGGCTGTGAAGTAGGGGCGCTTGATCACAACCATCATCATTATGAACTGTAGCCAGAAGACCACCGCCGTGGCGTAGCCGCAACCGACACCCCCCAGTTCAGGCAGCCCCCATTTGCCGTAAATCAGCGCGTAATTCAGAGTCGCATTGACGGGCAGCATGCTGCCAGCAATGATCATCGGCGGACGTGTGTGTCCAAGCCCTTCGCAGGCATGGCGTAACGCCACATAAAACACCAGGGCAGGGATTCCCCACGCTACTGCGGCCAGGTAGTCGGTGGCGATCCTTGCCACTTCAGGTTTAAGTCCGGTGAGCGCGTAGATGGCGCCGGCGTTACAGAGAATCACAACCAGGACGGTGCTGGTGGCCAGACAGATCCATAACCCCTGACGAATCTGATGGCCCACTTGCGGCAGCTGCCTGCGCCCGCGTAACTGGGAGATGATGGGTGTGAGCGCCATGGTTATGCCGGTAAACATCATCATGAATGGCCACATCACGCTGCCACCCAATGACACGCCGGCCAGATCGGTAGCACTGTAGCGTCCGGCCATGGCGGTATCGACAAAACCCATGCCCATGATGAACATCTGGGTCAACACCATCGGCCAACCCAGCTGCAATACTGTCTTGAGTTCGCTTGCGGGTTTGATGCTCACGGTTTGAGTTTGCTCTGCCAGTTTGGGTTTGATTTAGTTTTTACGAATTTCCGTCAAAAAAACCGAGGTGGAGATGTTGAGCGGCGATGCACACGGGTATCATAGTCGTAATCTGGTGAACGGTAGAAGTTTTATGGTTATTGAGTGGGTCGTTGGGATTGCAGTTGTCTCCATGCTGATTGGTTTGGCTCTGGGTTACTTCCTGCCATTGGGTAATGCCAGGAAGGCCAGGGTGGGTGAATTGGAAAATGCTTTGGAAACAGCCCAGCAGGAACTCGCTGACTATAAAGGTGAAGTGTTCAATCAGTTTGCTACCACAGCAGAGAAGTTTCGCGATCTTGATCAAAGCTATCAGGCGTTGCATCAGCAGCTCGCCAGAAGTTCAGTGGATTTATGTGGTGATGCAGCGTCACCGCTGCTGACCGCGGCAGTTGCACCTGCGCTTGCCGAGGGACTCAGTGAACCCGCTGTTGAAGACAGCAGATTTTCAGAAGAAGACCTGGACGCACAAACTCCGGATCTTGGTGAAATGAAAGCCTCTGAAGAGGAGGCCAGTGAAATTGAACAAGAGATTGTGGTCGCTGAGGCATCTGCAGAGCTGGAAACAAACATTGCCGCAGATAGTGTGCCCACGTTGACTGACCGGGATGCAGATTTCAGTCCTGATCTTGAGGGTGAAACTGACGCACCAGCCAAGCGCGAAAGCGCTTAGCTTCAGGGGCGAACAGTTTGAGTTCGATCAGGCCGCAGGGCGCTCGTTGCCGAGAATAGACACCCGTTCCCCATAGCGGCTGTGCGGGTAGTAGTCCCAGACTGCGTGATGCTGGGTGCATCGATTATCCCAGAACGTCAGCGTGTTGGGGCGCCACTGCACCCGGCAGTACAGCCGTTGAGTCTGAGCGATGTGATTCAATAGCCCGCCGAGTAAAGCTTTGCTTTCCCAGACATTTAATCCCTTGATGTGCGAAGTAAAGCCACTGTTGACGTATAAAACCTTTTTACCGGTTTCAGGATGGGTTGCAACAACCGGGTGCTCATTGCGTGGGTACTTTGAACCTTCCGGTGGCGATACCTGATAACCGCTCAGATAAGGGATGGCGCCATCGTGCACGGCAACAAGTCCATCCAGCATGTCTTTCATGGTGTCGCTGAGCAGCTCATAGGCAAGGTACATATCAGCAAATAACGTGTCTCCGCCGCCACACTCCGGAGTTTCTGTGATGTATAACATGGAGCCCAACGGCGGAATTTCATCGCAGGTAACGTCGGTATGCCAGCCATTGCCAGCGGTATATTTAGAATCTCTGGTGGTTTTTACACGCAGGATCTCCGGGTCGCCGCCATAGCTGTGCTGCATTGGGTGCACATGCAACGTGCCAAATTTGCGCGCGAAGGCTTTGTGCTGTTCCTGGTCAATGACCTGGTCGTGAAAGACTAATACTTTCCAATCTAACCAGGCCTGGTAGATTTCACTGAACTGTTCGTTCGATAGAGGTTGTGCCAGATCGACACCCTCTACAACAGCTCCGATATGTGGCGTGATACTGTCTACGCCGATGGTTTCAAACTTGTCGATATGCGCCATATCTGTCTCCTTTGTGTCGTATTATTTATTCTGGTAAACCCAGCACCCGTTTGGCGATGATGTTGGCCTGAATTTCATTGCTGCCACCGTATATGGTGGTTGCTTTGCTGCCCAGCCAGTCGCTGGCTGCTTCTAACTCTGAAGCGGTGAATCCGTTCGGGTCGTGTGCACCCAGGCCACGGAAGCCCATCAACTCACGTTTCAACGCAGCGCCATCCTGCTGCAGCGCTGCGCCGTATAATTTGAAAATTGAAGTGGCTGCCCCGGGTGTGCCTGATTTATTTTCGGCATTGGCTCGAGCGGCGGTGAGTTGGAATGCCGCGCGGTTCATGTTCAAGGTGGTGATGGCTTCGCGAAGGGCCGGGTCTTTGATGCGGCCGTCGTCTTCTCCGACATATTTTTTTGCGGTTTTGACGAGTCCCGCACCAGGCTGGGCCTGTCGCGCACCCCCGTTCAGACCGCCAATGCCTGATCTTTCAAACTGCAGCAGACGTTTGCCTACTGTCCAGCCTTTATTCAGATCCCCCAGCAGGTCTTCTTTTTTAGCCACGGCATCGTCAAAAAAAGTTTCACAGAAAGGTGACGTGCCGGAGATCAGACGAATCGGTTTGACCGTTACGCCGGGTTGATCCATGGTCAGTAACATGAAACTGATACCTTCATGTTTTGGTGCATTAAAATCTGTTCGTACCAGAATGAACATCCAATCTGCGGTGGCAGCACCCGATGTCCAGATCTTCTGGCCGTTGATCAGATAGTGATCACCTTTATCTTCGGCTTTGGTATTTAACGCGGCCAGATCAGATCCCGCGTTGGGTTCCGAGTAACCCTGGCACCATTGGATTTCACCTCGAATAATCTTAGGCAGGTGGCGTTCTTTCTGGGCATCATCGCCATACTCGAGCAAAGTGGGCCCAATCATCGACATACCCATGCCCACCAGCGGCGAGCGGGCGTTGATCTTGCCCATTTCGTCATATAGAACCCGCGCATAGTCCTGGCTCAAACCGCCGCCACCATATTGGGTAGGCCAGGTTGGGGCGGTAAAACCTTTCTCGACACAGGCCTCAAGCCACTTTGCAACGTCTGGTTCCAGGATGATTTTGCTGGAGCCGTTGGCCATCTGGCCAGGCCCGCGTGCCCCCTCCGGGCAGTTTTCGGCCAGCCAGGCTGCGGTATCTGCCCTGAATTCAGATAATTCTCCCATCATACCTCCCCAATATTTCTGCGAATCCAAAACTGTACTCGGTATAGTGGGAAGTTCAAGTTTGCCAGGTGCAGGAAAACACAGCGTCATGAATATAACGGTGCCCCCCTTTTCGTTAACCAACACTCAATCTGAGCAGGTCAGCTTCCCGTCGGGAAAAGCCAGTCTGGTCTGCTTTGTAAAAGAAGACTGCCCGACCTGTCGCGAGGTTATGCCGGTATTGGCTGCCATGGCGCAGGCGGTGGGAGACACATTGGACTTTCACGTGATCGGTCAGACCGAAGCCGGTAATCAGAAATTGCTGGAGACCTTTGCACCACCTTTCGAAATCCTGGACGACAGCAGTCTGAAAGTATCGTTTGCCAGCGACATCGATACCGTGCCGACACTGGTCTGGTCTGATGCCCAAGGTGAACCCGCACAGACGCTGATCGGCTTCGTTAAAGAGGAATGGCTGGCTCTGAGCGAAACCCTGACGAAATCAGAGGGTGTGGCTGCGCCGTCGCTCGACTGGCAGAGTTTGCCGGATTGGCGGCCTGGATGCGGTTCATTGTCAGTGGATCCACTGATTGCTGACCGACTGCGGGCGGAAGCGGAGAATTCGCCGTTACGAGCGCGCCGTATAGACATTGGCGTTGCCGACGACGAAGTTGAATTCATGTTTGACCAGGGGTTTTCTGACGGTCTGCCCCTGGTGCCGCCTACACCGGAACGCGTTATGCGTATGCTGGCGGGTACCCGGCGCGATCCCCAGGATGTGTTGGCGCAAATGCCCCCCAATATGGGCGACGTGACTGTCGAAAAAGTTGCCATCAATGCGGTCATGGCGGGCTGCAAACCGCAATACATGCCCGTCATCAACACCATCGTCCAAGCCATCTGTACGGACGAATACAATATTCACGGCGTCATGGCGACAACCATGGGTGCAAGTCCGGTGGTTGTGGTGAATGGTCCAATCCGTGAACGCATCGGTATGAACATGGAACTGGGCGCACTCGGGCAGGGCAATCGAGCCAACGCAACCATCGGTCGCGCGGTGCGTTTGATTATCCGTAACGTAGGCGGCGCAAGACCCGGCGGTACCGAGCGCTCCACTTTAGGCAACCCGATGAAATTCACCATGAGTTTTCCGGAGTGGGAGGAGCGCAGTCCTTGGGCACCTCTGCATGTCGAACGCGGCTTTGCTGAACAGGATTCTGTGGTTTCGGTGTTCACCATGTCCAGTGGTCCTACCTTGATTGTTGACCAGGATTCCAGGACGGGTGCGGGCCTGGCGGGTACCATGGGGCTGTGTTTAGAGTCCGCGTTTAACCCCAAAGCCCACTATGCGACAGATTGCCTGCTGGTGGTGGTGCCCGAACACGTCGACACCTTCGTCAGGGATGGCTACAGCAAAGCTGACATACGTGCCCGCATCCAGGAGGTGACGGCTAAGCCGATCCGTGAGTTGATGGCTGATGACATTTCAGGGACGGGTTTTAAGCCGGAAATGGTTGAGAAAATGGGACCTGGCGCCATGGATAAAGTAATGCCGAAGTTTCGCTCGGAGGACGATATTCATATCGTCGTAGCGGGATCCCAGGCAGGCAAATTTTCAGGGGCCTTTCACGGCTGGGCGACGGGAGAGATTGGCTCTATCCCTGTTTCGCGTAAGATAGAAGAGCTGTAATTAATAAATGGAGAGGGTTTATGACAACCATTTTAGATCCCACTGATGAACGTGTGCCCGTCGCGCGCGCCATCAGCCCCAGACCTGCGGTGATAGAAGGTAGTGTAGCGCTGCTGGATATCTCCAAACCGCGCGGTAATGTGCTGATCGATCGCCTGGAAGAAGTGTTACAACAACGCCTGCCGAAGGTTGAGTTCAAGCGCTACGCCAAGCCCACATTTACCAAACCCGCGCCAGATGCATTGCGCCAGCAGATCCAGCAGGACAATGACTTTGTCATTGAGGCCCTCGCCGACTGAGGATCCTGTACCACGTGCAGTTTGCATGACACGGTATGGTTCGAAATCCAGGGCACTCCTGCGGTTTCTATAGCTTCGAGCGAATTTGTTGATGCAGCAACGACGCAGGCTCAGGCTTTGGGTATGTTGGATGCCCCGCGCGTATTTGTTGATCATCCGATCCAGGATGCTAATGATGATGAGATGCGCGCAAAGGCAGACAAAGTTGTCGATCAGATTATCGCGGCACTCACACGCTGAGTGTTTGCGGTAGCTGAAACAGCTGTGCAAGTCCTTGAGCCGATTGTTTGAACGCTAGTATTGTCGAGGCGACGATCTGTCTTGTCGTCGTTGGCGTCAGCTGCGTTTTTGTTTTAGCAAAAGGCTCACCTCGCTTTTTAGCCGCCTATCTGCCACTGGCTTGTGTCAGCGCATTTGTTTATTGCGCCGGCCATCTGGCCAATCGCATTTTTCTGGACCCTCAGTCGCACGCGCTGGCGGTTTACGTGCTCTACGCAGGGCTTATGGGTACAGTGACATTCTGGTGGATGTCGATTTTGGATGTTGCCCAACACTACCGCTATGTGCCGACCAGAACGGCAAAAACTGTCCAACAGGTTTCGCTTGGCGCGATGCTGTTGCTCCTGTTGGGATTGATCACAAACCCCTGGCACGGACAATTTCTTATTCCTAACCCGGCTGGTTTCAGCGAGTTCAAACTGCTTTGGTATCTAAATGCCGGGACGCTCTGGTTGTTTATCGCTTCAGCCTGCCTGCTGGCGATTTATTGTGCGGGTAAAACTCAGGTTCGAGCGGACCGCGTGCAGATGATCCTGTTAGCCCTGGCAATGCTCATTCCAGGCCTGTTTAACGGATTGTATCTTTCGGGCGTGGCGAACATTGAAGACGATCCAACCGCCATTGGTCTGGCATTCAGTTCAACGGTGTTCATTTATGCCATTTTCCGTGGTCAGCTTTATGTGTTGTCAGGCGTACGCATCGATCAATTCATGGATAATCTCAAGCGTCCAGGCATTCTTGTTGATCGGAACTATCGATTGGTTTATTTGAACAATGCTGCCCGCTCAACCTTCGGTGATCTGCCGATTCACACCCAGGTGGGGCCTGTGCTTGCTGCCAAGTTGATCTCGCCTTCAGGCGAAACATTAACGCCGGAAAGAATTGATGCTTCGCCCAGCGACGTATTGCTGGTAGTCGACCAGCCTGACGCGTGGATTAGTATCTCTGCGCAGCCTATACGTAACGGGCAGAAGCAGATCGGTTCCATGTGGTTGTTTGAAGACGAAACCTCCAAGGTGCGCGCCTCCAGGCAATTTGAAGCCGACAAGCGTTTAGAAAGCCTGCGCATGATGGCGGGTGGGATTGCTCATGATTTTAATAACCTGCTGCAGGGCGTGATTGGTAACGCGGAACTGGTTGAGCTGAACCTGCAGGGAGATGTGGCCCACGCAAAGCACCTGCTGACAAATCTTATTGGCGGGGCGCAGCGGGCAGCAGGTTTGTCACAGAAACTGCTGGCTTATTCCGGCCGTGCACAGATTAAGGTGGAAGCCGTTGATCTCAATGAACTTATTGAAGATGTTCTGGCATTTATGCAGATTGATCTTGCACCCAGTGTGCCTATTGTTGTGGCTTTATCAAAGCGACCGATCCGGGTAGCCGTAGATCCTGTGCAGGTGAACGAAATTGTATTCAATCTGCTTACCAATGCTTATGAAGCAGCGCACGAACAACAGGCATCAATCTGGTTGCGCAGCGGACAGGTAGAGTTGGATCGGGCCGCCATCGACGCCTGTCAGATTGCGACAACCGCTATGCCCGGGCATTACTGTTATCTGAGTGTTGCCGATAGCGGTCCCGGGTTAACGCCAGAAACGCTGGCGCGCATCTTTGAACCTTTCTATTCCACCAAGGAGTTAGGTAGAGGTTTAGGGTTGGCGGCCGTGTCAGGCATTGTTGCCAGTCACGGTGGTGCGTTGCGTGTTTTCAGCCCCGCTGAGATGGATGGTCAGGTGCATAGCGAAGTGGGGGCGGAATTTGTAGTGTATTTCAAAGCCCTTGATGCAGCATAACTATTTTGTTGTTTGACACCGAAAATCGGCTGTACTTTGGCTATTATCTGATTTGCGCGGCGTTCATCGCGCAGTTCATTTCAATTGGCATGTACAGCTATGTGCTGGGTCCTTTCATGATCCCGATGACCGAAGATCTCGGTTGGAGTCGAGCCGATTTCACGTTGACCCGAACCATAGGTCAGCTGGTGATGGCTACCGTCGGTGTTTTTGTTGGTGCTCGTGTCGATAAAATAGGCGGCAAGCCGATCATGCTGGTGGGGACAACCATCTTAACGGCGGGTCTTGTCAGTCATAGTTACATTGAGCAGTTGTGGGTCTGGTGGCTTCTGAACGGTGTGATTCTCACGGTGGGTTGCGCCATGGTGGGCAACCTGGTCGTCAATGTGACACTTTCCAAATGGTTTGTGGTGAACCGTGGTAAAGCGATTGCATTTGCTGCTATGGGGGTGTCTTTTGGTGGTGTGGTTTTAACACCGCTTGCAACCTGGCTTATCGATACTATCGGCTGGCGTGACGCCTGGGTGTGGTTAGGGGCCATGGCAGCGCTGTTTCTTTACCCGGTTGCGTTGTTCATGCGACGTGCGCCTGAAGACCATGGTCTACACCCTGATGGGCTAAGTGATGCACAGGTCGCCGCGGGCGCCAGCCAGCGGGCGTTGGATGAAGAAGCGCGTGCTTACACTCGACATCAGGCGTTGCGTACTTTTTCTTTTTACGCCCTGGTCATTGCATTCGGCTTTTTCTCCATCAATATTGTTGTATTGCTGCTGCAAACGGTTCCCTATCTGACGGACAGTGGTTTCAGTCGCAACGATGCGGCCCTGGCGATGTTGATAGCATCGGTGCCAGCTATGCTGTCCAAACCTGTCTGGGGTTATCTGATTGATCTCAGTCCCGTTAAACCGTTGGCGGCTATTTCCGCGTCAGTAACCGGTATAGCGCTGTTTCTAATTGTGTTTGCGGTGGGCAGCCATCAGCTGTTCTGGGTCTATGCAGCTTACGTGGTTCTGGGTCTGGGCTGGGGAGGCATGATCCCCATGCAGGAAGTCATCTGGGCGTCGTTTTTTGGTCGTCAACATATCGGTGCCATCAGAGGGGCAGGCATGCCTTTTGCGCTTGTACTTGGTGCTGCCGCCCCATGGCTCGTATCCTATTATTATGATCTTATTGGCAGCTACGATGGTGCGCTGCTGGTGGTGGCTGGACTGAACGTATTTTCCGGGGTGCTGATATTTATGGTGCCGCCGCCGACTAAAATGGGTGTCAGAAAAAACTGATCAGATGCTTGATCGCAGGTGAGGGGATAAAAAATGGAGTATCAGAATATTGTAGTGGCACCGACGCCAGGTGTTGGCGCGTTTATCAGTGGTGTTGATCTGTCTGAGTTCGATGACGCCAGCTTGATTGAGCTGAAAAAAGCATTTGCGGAATACGGTGTGCTGTTCTTTCGCGATCAGCAGCTTGATGAAAGCAAACACATTGCCTTAGCCAGGCGTTGGGGTGAGATCAACATCAACAGGTTTTTCACCCCGGTTCCCGGTTACCCAGAAATAGCGCAGGTACTTAAAGAACCTGAACAGACCGCTAATATAGGTGGTGGCTGGCACACTGACCACTCTTACGATCAGGAGCCAGCGCTGGGTTCTATGCTCTACGCAAAAGAGGTGCCACCGGCAGGTGGCGATACACTTTTTGCAAACTGCGCCGCTGCCTATGAGGCTTTGTCTCCCGGTATGCGCGCAACACTGGCTGGTTTGCGTGCGGTACATTCGTCGCGTCACGTTTTTGGTGAAAGTTCATCTTACTCAAATGAAATGTCGGGACGACTGGGAAATGCTGAAGCAGCAACACAGGATGCGGTCCACCCGGTGGTGATCAAACATCCACTATCGGGTCGAAAAACGTTATACGTAAATCCTGCATTTACGCTGCACTTCGAAGGTTGGACGGCGGTTGAGTCCATGCCGCTTTTACAGCAGCTGTATAATCACATGATGCGCGCTGAGTTCACTTACCGTCTGCAGTGGGCGCCTGGCACCCTGGCTTTCTGGGATAATCGTGCAACCTGGCACTATGCGCTGAATGACTATCAGGGTGAGCGTCGGCTGATGCACAGAATTACCCTGGATGGCGGGCGAATTGCAGCTTAGCCCGATCAGTCGCGTAATTCTGGACGATTGTGATATTCGGCCAGGATTTCGGAGTTTGCCAGGGCGCTGGCATTGCCAATAGTCTCCCCCTGCAGGGTCTGACGGACAGCGAGTTCGGCTACTTTGCCGCTCAATGTACGCGGCACATCGGTTACAGAGAGTATCTTTGCCGGTACGTGGCGGGGGGACGCATGTTCGCGGATATGGCGTTTGATCGTTTCGCGAAACGCCTCAGTCAGTGTATGGCCCGGTGCCATGACAACAAATAAAACCACCCGGGTATCATCCTGCCACTGTTGACCGACACACACCGCGTCTGCGATTTCCGGCATGGCGTCCAGCAGGCTGTAGATCTCAGCGGTGCCGATCCTGACGCCACCGGGATTGAGGGTGGCATCGCTGCGACCATAGATGATGTAGCCGTCCTGGGCGGTATGGCTGGCATAGTCGCCGTGTACCCAGACGCCTGGGAAAACATCAAAATAAGCTTGTTTAAAACGAACCTGGTCCGGGTCGTTCCAGAAACCAATCGGGCAGGCTGGAAAAGACTGGGTACAAACCAATTCGCCTTTGCCCTCACTTAAAGCCTCACCAGTCTCATCCCAGACCTCGACGGCCATGCCCAGACCTGCGCATTGCAGTTCGCCGGCGTATACAGGCAGGTTCGGATTACCCAGCATAAAACAGGATACAATATCGGTGCCGCCAGACATGCTGGCTAAGTGACAGTCAGATTTGATGGCTGAATAAACGTAGTTGAAACCCTCTTCGGTGAGCGGTGATCCGGTGGATAGCACCGCGCGTAAACTCGACAGCTGATGAGATATGCGTGGCGTCACCTGCGCCTGTTGGGCAACGCTGAGAAATTTTGCGCTGATACCCAGGACGCTTATCCCTTCATTATCACAGAGGTTAAATAAGGTGGCCGGCGAGGGATGGGTGGGAGATCCGTCATACAAGACAATTGTGCAGCCTGTTGCCAGGGCCGAGATTGTCCAATTCCACATCATCCAGCCGCAGGTGGTGAAG